TATGAAATTCTGACACAAGGACGAATCACCTTTTTAAGACTTTGTATTTATACTCTAGGCGCTGAAGAAAGAAACTAAACCCAAACAAATACACGCATATTGCTTGTGAGTGAGTGTTTAGGCGCAGGAGACATTACAGGACCGCATCAAGATATTATGGGTAGTCATCAAAAATTTCATACAAGATAATTATTATCTTTTACAGTAAATTTCAGTTAGAGATTCACAAATGAGTTAACTACACTTTTTAGTTATTAGTAAGTAAGCTGCGGGCACTCATTCAGAAGAGGAACTTGAATCTTCTGAATCGTTTAAATGAATTATTAGAGGTTCAATTTGGGTATCGATGACATTGTCCAAATCCCACATTTTGACCTCAACCTTCTCCCGAACGTGGCGGATACAGTTTTTCCATTCCTCTGCCGTAACTCTATTGACTGCGATGTGAAAGAGATTTTTAACATCAGAAAATTTATAAGTATTATTATTCGACGCCACGTATTGCTTTATGTTGGCCCAAATCAGCTCAATAGGGTTCAGCTCACAATGGTAGGGTGGCAGTCTCAAGACAGTTTTATTTTGTTTTTTGGCCATTTCGTCGATCATTTTAAAATCGTATTTGTATTTATGTCTATTGACTATACTTATCAATTCACCCTTGACCATTGTTTCAGCAAAATCGATCTGTTTTGAGGCCAGCCATTGTTGTATGTTTGCTTTTTTAGTTGCCATTGTGGGAATTTTTTCTATTTTTCTAGAATGGTACGGGGCATTATCCAGTACAATAACAGCGTTATTCTCCAGCTTTAGTAACATTTTGGAGAACCAATTTTCAAAGGAATTGCCGTCCATCTCCTCATGATAGTCCCCTGACTTTTTTGATTCAAAGGCCCACAGTGCTTCGGGAAAAAAGCCGTCTTCACTACCTACGTGACAAATGATCAGCCGTTTGCCTTTTCCTGGAAATAAATTATTCCTTACACTATGGATTGATTAAATTTGAAGGAATGAGGCAATTGAGTTCATTTAGCTGAATTTAAGAGTCACGGAATGCTGATCAAAAACTGAAAAACGTAGAAAATTGAAGTTTGCAACTTCTCAAAACCCATTCAAAGCAAATTGACTGCACCCAAAAATGATAATAAATTTCAAAATAACGCTTAAAAGAGGGTCGAAGTTTTTTTCCTAATGACTACACTGCGAATGCACCATTTTTGGAGAATATCACACATTATCTGCTATCACAGCATATTATTTGCCCGAATTTATCAAAATTAAATTGCCGGATAGATGAAGGAGCTTACCTGCAGGATTTTTCAATCCAGCCGAAAGACCGTCTAGAAAAGCCTGCCTTGATGATGTTACTGATTTGTCGACCCAAACTTTCGCTTGAGTATGTCCAGCATTCACCCACGTTTCGTCCAAATAGTAAATTTTTCTTTTTTCATCGCGAAACTTCCGAATCTTCCTAAGGTATTCCCTTCTCCACACAACAATTTCTTCTTTCTCTATTAACATACTGTTTCTTCCCCGTTTCAAGAATCGAAAATTAAGTTCCTTCAAAAGTTTTCGGAATGTGGTTCTTTTAAATGATGGAAGATCCTCATCAGCATTAACTAATCTTAATATCTTATCTACTGTAGGTATCTCATTTCGGAAGAAAAAATTATGCACTTTCCTCCTGATGGCAGTTCTGTCAAAGTCATCTACTCCGTCCGTTATCCTTTTTCTTGCAGGATACGGTTTTGGCTCAGAAAGTGAGTGAGTGCTCCTATATTCCTTAATGATCCTATAAACACTGGACCGACATACATGTACTCCAGAAATATGTGCTACCTTACATATAACTTCGTCCACGACGAAATCGGGTTTTTCTTGAATTTGGTTTTTGATATATTTAATATTATTTGTTTTTCATTTGCACTTAAATGTAGCTTCTTAGCCCTTTTTTTGGGTGGGGTTGCGCTGATGTCAACCACTTCGTCGGCTGTATCTGTGTCAGACATCGTATCTTAGGCAATATATAAACAAAACGAGTATACGCTACTGAATGCGTAATGCGTATGCAATGCAATCCTGTGCGTGAATTAACTGTTAGATGCCTGTCGTGTCATCTACAATCACGTTTACAAGTCCAAACCTGTGCAGATTCGTAGAGCGCCGACGACTGCTAGTGACCTTGAATTGTCTGTAGATCGATGTTACTCCAGTCAATTTAGGTTCAAAGTGGATGTTTTCTAAACCAATTTGTTGTTCCTACATCAAAAATATATCGATGATGTTTTGTACTGGGAGCTCATGAAAGATCAAGGTAACTTATTTTAACAGTCATCCTTTTTCTAGTCTCAAGATGACACGAAAAAGGGTCTGTGGATTCACTAGAAATACACTGCCGAGGATGTTTAGACCTAAAGTGACTGGAGTATATCCGTGGATGCTTTCGAGGGATCTGTTCACGTGCTGATCACTGTTTACGTTTAATGTCTTTCTTCAGCGCCCAGAGTTTAGGTTAGATACCCACGCTGAGTGCTACGAATATAAACCTGTCCATACTTCTTGTTACCGTATGCAGTTTACCCATTGCGGCTCTAGTCGCAACGTTGTCGAATGGTCGTTAGAGCAGAGTAGACATTTCTAGATCACAACGTTGTCGAATGGATGTGGAATGATGATTCATTTTATTGGCCTATTTGACTTTCTGCAGGGTTATTACGTAACCCTATATAATGTAAAAAAAAACAATAAAGCGGCAACTTGTTGACTAAGTAGGCTAGTGTGCAAATATACTAAGTGACATATAAATCCGAACACCTAGTTTAAATGGTTTTATTTTAATAAAATTTTGTATAAGTACTTAATGAAGCATAATAAGTAAATGATAAACATTTCAAAATGATTGCACTGCTTTAAAGCCCTTTGACCTTTAATAATGTGTGGATGCACCCTGATGTGCTACGCATTCTCCAACGCGCCTAGGCATGCTTCTGATCAGGTGGTCAATGTCCTCCTGTGGTATCTCATTCCAGGCAACCACCAACTCCTCTCGAAGTGCTTCTAGAGTCTGAGGAGGATGTTGCAAATTGAGCAATCTCCTACCCATCATATCCCACACGTGCTCAATTGGGGATAAGTCGGGAGATCTTGGTGGCCATGGTAACAATGTGACATCATTATGTTGAAAGAAGTCTATTGTGACTCTTGCAACATGTGGTCGGGCATTATCTTGTTGGAAAATTGGATCTGCCAGGGTGTCAAGATAGGGTAAAAGATGGGGTTCTAGAACTTCGTGTTACCTCTGATGAAGATTAAAGGTGACCTGGAACCATAAGCTATAGCACCCCAAACCATAACTCCAAGAGTGTGATGAACATGTCTTTCAACAAAAAACTGTGGATTCCTCCTTCCACCACGTCGCCTTCTAACCCTGGCACGACCATCGTGCATGCCTAAACAAAATCGAGACTCGTCACTAAAGACAATACTGTTCCATTCCTGATGCCAGAGTGACCGTTGTCTGCACCACTCAAGGCGATTACGTCGGTGTTCTCGAGTTAAAGGGAGGACCCAGTGTGGCCGGTATGAAAACAAGCCAAAACTTCTCATTCGTCGATAAACACTTCGCATGCCAATAGATCTTCCGTGTTCTGCAAACCATTCATTTGCAATGGACCTGGTAGTGGAGAAACGGTCCCTTAGGGCCAATAATCTTAGGCGGCGATCTTCACGGTCTGTTGTTCTATGGCGGCGTCCAGTGCCCCTTGCTCTTTGCGTACGGCCTTCTCGAAGCCATGCCTGACAACACCTAACCACAGTGTCTACACTTCTTTGCACTCTAACTGCAATTGCCCGAAAAGAAAGTCCAGCTTCCCGAAGTCCCACTATACGGCCCCTATCAAACTCACTAAGTTGACGAAATCGTACAGGTCTCCGTACTCTAGGCATCGTAACCGATCGTAAAGGATGTCAAGAACCAACGTTGATTCTTTACTGCGGCTGAAATATTCATTTTTAGAGCGTTAGTGAATTAAAAAAAAGCAGTATAAAAACCGGAATGTCCAACTGATAAGGCTGAAAATTTTTTCACTTGTTATTTACAGTAAGATAAATACATTCACCAACTTTTATTGATATAAAACCATTTAAACTGGGTGTTCGGATTTATATGTCACTTAGTATAGTTCATTCTGCGCTTGCTACAAGTGAACGACAGCTAGTTCCAAGTTGACGTCTTGTAGGAAAACATACATGTCAAAAAAAAACAATGTCAACTTTTCAAGTTACGTTATAGCCCTTCCGATTATATTCCTTTGTTATGTTCGTAGTTTACTTTTTTGTGAGAGGGGCTTGTGCCGAACATAATCCTTTGTGAACTGGTGAGAGCGCTGCGTGGAAGTACAGAGTTAACCTACTTGACGCCATTTTCTTTTTTATCATATTCGAATTCAGCGCACAAAACTGCCTAAGGGTTTCCGTCGTTTGTAGCAACGGGAGACGAAAATTGAAAATTTGAAGGTATAAGCCCATAGTTTTCATGAAACCCTGTTACGGGAACATTTCCAAAAATTGTTCTGTATATGCGCTTTAGGCAATGACTGTTATCCTGGGTACCTCAATGTTTGGTTCGGTAACAAAACTTCAGATTTTGCTTTTATCTGTAGTATATACGATATAGGCAATAACTATTTTAGGTGAATCAGCGCCCAGAATTATCTGGATTTACATAGGTACGTTCATTTGTAGCAACAATGAGCCAAAACGAAAATTTTACAGTGCAAAATCGTACTGTTGTTACAGTACGTGTTACATGAGCATTTCTAAAAAACCCAAATTCGGCTACATGATGCTCCAGGTTTTTGAACGATCGTATTCGAATTTAGCGCCCAAAATTATGTGTACTAGGTTTTGTTTATTTGTATCAACAGATGTCCAAAATGGATGGGTGGATTGCGTTTCTATTATCAATTTGGCCCAAGGACTAACTTTAAGGAAAAATTAAGCACTTGTATTAAAAAAAGATGTTTTAATAAAAAAGTACTGATTGGAAATACACTTATATAATAATTGAGCTTAAAAAGTATCTCCTTTAGCTGCCTTGCATAGCCTTGCCAGTAAGCCAGACATCTGTATGAGAGAACAAATCCCATCCACTATCCTTTGATGTGTATAACTTATTTCCTGAAACAATAAAGTCATAATTTATAGACCATCTATCCTTTTAGATCTGGGACAACAATAACAAGCGTCCCAATTTGTTTTTCTCACCTTTATGAGATTCAGCTTAAGACCTTCATCAATATCCATATTCTTGCACACTCTGAAGATGTTTTTAATGATGTCTTCTGCTGCATAGCCCAAGCTCCACAAGTACTGAATAACCTGAAACAAAAACACAACCGATTTTCAAAACCTGTCTTGGCTTCTGACTGTAAACAAATGTTACCTTGTATGCTTTCCGAATATCACCGTCAATACAGTTTTTCAACATCTCTTTAATCAGCATTGGGTGAGGTTCATCACAAACTTTGTAAACATTTTCAGAATTAACCAATCCAAAACCATTATGAGTGGACTGCAAATTGTTCAAGGCTTGCCTCATATCTCCTTGTGCTATAAATACAATAGCTTCTAGGCCATCCTGAGTGTATTTTACCTAAAAAAAACATTGAATTTTGTGGTCAATGTCATGCTCAAGCACTGTAAGTTGCACCCCATACACAAATATATACTAAGTGACATATAAATCCGAACACCCAGTTTAAATGGTTTTATTTTAATAAAAGTTGGTGAATGTCTTTATCTTACTGTAAATAACAAGCGAAAAAATTTTCAGCCTTATCAGTTGGACATTCCGGTTTTTATACTGCTTTTTTTTTAATTCACTAACGCTCTAAAAATGAATATTTCAGCCGCAGTAAAGAATCAACGTTGGCGGATATTGGTTCTTGACATCCTTTACGATCGGTTACGATGCCTAGTGTACGGAGACCTGTACGATTTCGTCAACTTAGTGAGTTTGATAGGGGCCGTATAGTGGGACTTCGGGAAGCTGGACTTTCTTTTCGGGCAATTGCAGTTAGAGTGCAAAGAAGTGTAGACACTGTGGTTAGGTGTTGTCAGGCATGGCTTCGAGAAGGCCGTACGCAAAGAGCAAGGGGCACTGGACGCCGCCGTAGAACAACAGACCGTGAAGATCGCCGCCTAAGATTATTGGCCTTAAGGGACCCTTTCTCCACTACCAGGTCCATTGCAAATGAATGGTTTGCAGAACACGGAAGACCTATTGGCATGCGAAGTGTTTACCGACGAATGAGAAGTTTTGGCTTGTTTTCATACCGGCCACACTGGGTCCTCCCTTTAATTCGAGAACACCGACGTAATCGCCTTGAGTGGTGCAGACAACGGTCACTCTGGGATCAGGAATGGAACAGTATTGTCTTTAGTGACGAGTCTCGATTTTGTTTAGGCATGCACGATGGTCGTGCCAGGGTTAGAAGGCGACGTGGTGAAAGGAGAAATCCACAGTTTATTGTTGAAAGACATGTTCATCACACTGTTGGAGTTATGGTTTGGGGTGCTATAGCTTATGGTTCCAGGTCACCTTTAATCTTCATCAGAGGTAACATGAACGCGCAGCGTTATATCCACGAAGTTCGAGAACCCCATCTTTTACCCTATCTTGACACCCTGGCAGATCCAACTTTCCAACAAGGTAATGCCCGACCACATGTTGCAAGAGTCACAAAATAGGCTTCTTTCAACATAATGATGTCACATCGTTACCATGGCCACCAAGATCTCCCGACTTATCCCCAATCGAGCACGTGTGGGATATGATGGGTAGGAGATTGCTCAATTTGCAACGTCCTCCTCAGACTCTAGAAGCACTTCGAGAGGAGTTGGTGGTTGCCTGGAATGAGATACCACAGGAGGACATTGACCACCTGATCAGAAGCATGCCTAGGCGCGTTGGAGAATGCGTAGCACATCAGGGTGCATCCACACATTATTAAAGGTCAAAGGGCTTTAAAGCAGAGCAATCATTTTGAAATTTTTATCATTTACTTATTATGCTTCATTAAGTACTTATACAAAATTTTATTAAAATAAAACCATTTAAACTGGGTGTTCCGATTTATATGTCACATAGTATATCATTCGATCATGCTATTATTTGCTGTCATAAAAGCTCACTGTTCTCTCGCAAGGGAAGCTTGACAATTTTATTTTCCATTCACTCTCACTTGGTTCGTGCTTGAGACATGCACAACATTCTTCTGGGCAGCGATTAGCGATTAGCCATCCTGATGGTAGAATAAAATCAGAGGAGCATATTTTCCTGTGCCTCATATATTGCAGCCTAAGTGCAGAGATACTCAGCACCATGGAGTTCGATAGTAAAGTTGCATACTCCGTGGAGTGATCAGACATCTAGCCTTCATTGGGAAGATCAGGAAAGTTCAGTGGATAAGCATGTGGGGTAGAATGTTGGTTGACTTGTGGTTGGCAAAAAGGGTCAACACTACTGCTACTGCTTCAATTAACTCTTGTGACAGCAAAGAATGGCAGGTAGGAATGCACATATATGGTCTACAAGTGATTCAGTAAAAAAGAATACTTTTTTATTAGAAAGAATGATCAATTTGAGTTTTTGGCATCTGTAAGATATACATACATTTTCTGCTTGACATATTTTAATAATCCTTGCCATAACTTGAGCATCTGTCAATCGGGAGTACCTCAGTATAGCACATCGTGATTGTATAGCTTCAATGACTTTTTCACTGTAGTTACAAGCCAATGCAAATCGAGTTGTGTTGCTATATATTTCCATTGTCCTTCTTAGAGCTTGTTGGGCACCTTCTGTCATGCTGAAAAGATGTGACATATCGGCTCCATCAGTGAGTGGCTTATGTTGATTATTAGTGCATCTTAATGACACTCAGCGCCTGGCTGACACTCTAGGCAGCAATAAGTTGACCAACGAGAATATATGTTTAAAGTTCTTTTTTTATGCTTACCTGTCAACTTCATCCAGGATCACAATTTTATGTCTTCCTGGGGGCAAAGTTACTTTCTGCTGGGCAAACATCTTAACTTTGTTGCGTACAGTATCAATTCCTCTATCATTGGATGCGTTCAACTCTAAAACTGCATCTTTGAAAGCAGTGCCAAGCAATATTCTTGCTAAACATAATATTGTTGTGGTTTTACCGACGCCTGGAGGACCCTATTCAACAAGAAAATGTCTAGAAGTCGTACATAAATGCTTTCAGTGTGATGCCTTACCGCTATGATAACATTTGGAACATTTCCCTGCTTTGAGAAGACTGATAATCTTGTTATAGTATCTTCATTTCCTACGATATCCTCAAAGGACCGAGGACGATATTTTTCGATCCTACAAATGTTCAAAGTTAGCTGTAACGATTAACGATCAGACATGTTGACCTACCATGGCAGGTTGCCGAGCTTTTTTGCTGCAGTACTTTGTTCTTTTTCTTTTGTAGAGGTAGTTGGGATTTCTTTATCATCTACTTCCATAGACTCCATTTTCGTTTGTTTACAAATTAATTTGCTACAAAAATTATACGGAAACTAGTTTTTGGACAATTTCCCTCCAAAATATATATTTGAAAATGTCATGTCGAAAATTTAGTGACATTGACAAGTCTTCGACATCTAATTAAAGAAAATACGAGCATAAAAAGGGCGTGGTCTATATAATTGAGAAACCACGCCCCTTTTCCTACTTAAAAACTCTTGGTACCTCGGTCTAGACGGTCTAAGTTCTGACATCTATCAACCGTTTTTTCAACTGCTATAGCTAAAATGATATCTGTATTTGATAAAATCAAGATTTAACATTAAAATCATAGATGCCAGCGAAAACATCCAAGCTGTTGACATCTATGAGCAAACTATGTTAAACCAGATGATGTAGTAGTAGATTTCCATATTTGCTAGCTATGGGCAGAATCGAATGATTCTAATAATCGGATAGTTAGTATTCGAATGATTTTAAGAATCGATATATCACTCGAATGATCATTCACATGTTGTAAACATCGTTCAGTCAGCAGTTCTGATTTCTGATTCTCGTTTCTCGCTGCCGCGACGCCGCGAGCGATTTGAACAACGATTGCAGTGTTGCCGCTTTGCCAGTAATTACTTGCATTTGCAAGGAATGAGGAGCTTTGCAAGTAAACTTGCAAGGAATGGGTGCTCTGGAGGAATTTGCAAGTAATTGATGCGATGTTCATATTTTATGGATTAAAACATTCGTAACAGTTGCCATATTAGCATAACATTCTATGATACGGCGTGCGGGATTCAACCTAGAACATGGAGCCGAGCCAGCTGAAGTGAAAAAACAAATCGGGATAGAACGCATGATCACTAAGTAGGTGCTTCTGTTATCTGTCATTTTTCTCGGGACCATAAAGCCGCTGTGACTGTCAAGCCGCAGCAGTCTTGAGTCTTAGCAGAGCACTGAGGAGTAAAAATGGCCGTACTGACTGAAATATGAATACTCATCGTGAATCAATCAGTCGGTAGATATACATCTATTTTTGCGGAACACTCGTCACTCGGAATTGGAGGTTGTGTTTGGAGGTATGAGAAGTCATAGCACAGGTTCACCAAAAATTCATTCAGCGGTAGAATCGGTAGAATTAGACCTGAAGGAGATTCGAATACCTGTCATAACTAAACGAATAAAAACATTGAACTTTGCCAGTAATTGCAAGTAAACTGTCAGGTATTTGCAAGGAATTGCAAGTAAAACTGTCTGGTACTTGCAAGTAATTTGGCCACAACGCTGTGGCAACACTGATGAATGATTTTGTTTTAGTTGTTTTCGAACTTCGTGACGTGACGGGTGGTGTTTCGCTCAGTGGTGTTTTTCTTTTGCGGGTGATTTACGTTCGTCTTGTCTGTTTTGTTTAATACTAACTTTATCAGGCTTGGGTAAATTAAAATAAGGTAGTGTATATTCGTCCGTACATGTGCGGTCGACGTGACGTTTTGTTTAAACGGCCGTACATGTTTTAATTTGCACTGCTTAAAATAAATTAATCGTCCGGTTAGGTTAGCGCTTTCTTTAGAGGTTTTAATAATATTTCAATATGTACTAACATTTCAATAAACCATTCACCTGATCGAACTTAGGCAAGAATATCGAATGTGCGGCCGTTTAAACAAAACGTCACATCGACCGCACATGTACGGACGAATATCCAGTGCCTTAAAATAAATCTAAGTGTAAGTTTTTCTGTGAAAAAATAATTGTACTTTTTATTATTATGTTTTAATTGCAACAATTCTACCGGGAATAATTTTGTTACCGGTACCGGGACTCTAGCCACAGCGTAAATCAAATTCGTTAAATACCGATTTATTATAATTTGCCCATGCCTGATAGAATTATGAGACCTGGTGCTAAAAAATCCGTCGTTTGGGAATATTTTAAAAAATCTTCCAACACAAATTTTGTGCAATGCAATATTTGCAAAAAAGAACTAAAATTTTTTGGGAATACTACAAATTTGAATCAACATTTGAAGCGATTGCATGCAACTCAATTATTAGCAAATGAACCACCCAATAACGACAAGGATTTAGACAATAATGACCAAAAAGTGAATTCATTCAAGCACAAAGAAGATGAAGCTGGTCCATCAAGTAAAACCGATGAAATAATAGGAGAAAATCGAACGGGTTCATCGAATGACTCAACATTCCATCCTCCACCCCTAAAGCGAAGAAAGCAATTAAAATTATTTGGCGCTAAAACCAATGAATTGACTGACGTGGACATAATTGAAATAGATAATGCCCTTGTAAAAATGATAGTAAAAGACTATCAGCCTTTATCTATTGTCGAAGACGAAGGCTTTATTGAATATTCTAAAAGGCTTCAACCATTATATAATTTGCCGAGTAGGAAAAAGCTTTCAAGCATGCTTATCCCACAATTATACGAAAGAGAAAAATTAAAATTAAAAAATATGTTGCGCGAAACAAATAATATTGCAATCACTACGGACTGTTGGAGTTCAGATAGTAATAAATCATATATCACTATTACTTGCCATTTTATATATAGTGACAAAATGCATTCCAATGCTTTAGCTACAAGGGAAATGCTACATTCTCATACAGGAGAAAATCTAGCATTATCCGTAAAAGAAGTTTTGCAAGAATGGGACATATTTGAAAAGGTGTCTACAATTGTTTCAGATAATGCTGCAAACATAAAAACTGCAGTGCAAATACTGAACAAACATCACCATCCATGTGTGGCCCACACTCTTAATTTGAGTGTAAATGAGGCACTTAATGGAAAGCCCTTATTAAGCGCGATACTAAAAAAATGTAGGAGTATTGTTGGACATTTTAAACACAGCAACAATGCTTCTAATAAATTGAAAGCGGTGCAAGAGCAGATGGGGCTTCCTGTTCTTAAAGTGAAGCAAGATGTTCCTACAAGATGGAATTCTTGTCTAGTAATGCTGGAAAGATTATTGGTGATAAAAGATTCCTTGAGTATTACTATTACCAGTATTTCCAGTGCTCCAGAATTTTTAGATGCTCAAGAATGGACTATAATAAAAGATTTAATTCCTATTTTGAAGCCAGTGGAGGTTATCACCACAATCCTATCTGGCGAAAAGTACCCTACAATGTCTTCAATAATACCACTCATAAGAGGATTGCAGCATGCGCTAGTACGTTTCAGTACTGAAAATGAGGTCTGCACTCTTTTAAAAAATGATTTAGTAGATATTATTTCACGTCGTCTTGGAATTCTTGAAGTAAATAAGACTGTCGCGAAGTGTTCATTTTTGGACCCAAGGTTCAAAAAGTTGGGATTCGGGAACGAAACGAATTCTTCTAATGCTCAGAAATGGGTGTTTGAAGAACTGGTCCAACTGATAAGAAAGAAAAATGAACTAAATATAAATGACTTGGAGGAAAATAGACAGGAAGATGACTTAAGTAATCAAAATCCATCCAAAGACAATGATTTCGGAGTTTGGTTAAATTTTGACACAAGGTTATCTACAGTGAAGTCGACAGTTACCCCTACTACTGTTGCTACCTTAATAATTCGTCAATACTTGGAACTGCCTTTTGTAAATCGAAAAGAAAATCCATTAGAATTTTGGAAAGCACACAAACAAAGTATGCCTGAGCTCTATGAGCTTGCACTTAAATATTTAACAGTTCCTGGTACATCTGTACCCTCGGAGAGGATATTTTCGAAATGTGGACAACTAACCAACTTAAGACGAAATCGCCTATCTCCAAAAAACTTAGACCAAATAATTTTTTTAAATAGTTCTAATTTAGACTAGTATTATTAATTCAGAGTTTATGTTTGTATGGTACAAATATTTTGTTATGTCATGAAGTTTAATTTTATTATTTTATTTTATTATTATTCTAATATTTTGTTTTAGAAATTAACCTATATAATAATATATTATGTTTGCAGTTTTAAATCAAAGTTTAAGAAATGTAATTAAGTTTTATTTTACTGTTCAGAACAATAAGTTTGTTTTAGGAATAAATGTTTATTTTTCCAGTTTTAAACCAAAGTTAAATAAACTTTTTGTTAACATTAGTTTTATTTTTCTGTTATTATGTTACATATTTCCAAGCAGATTTATTATTATTATTATTACATATTTTGTTGCAAGGAATAAAGTTATAGGTAATGAATGCTCAATTCCAATCATGTATTGAGTTTGAGGTTTTAAGTTTTAACACCAAGATAGAATATGAAATTATCAAATCAATATAAATTACTGCTGTTATAAATATAATTAATAATCAGATAAACTAATATGCATAAAATTGAAATAAACTTTCGCCACTTGGCACATAATATACGTTAAAAAAACTATTGAGAGAAATCTGCTAAGGCACCCTATATTGTTATTCCCAACTAATAAAAAAAATAGTTCGATCGAAATAGAAAGAGCTATCAAAAGAATGCGCTTGAAAATTTAGATTTGTGATTCGATTATATTACCACACATAATAATAAAATTACGATGCGACAACATAAATTCTCAAGCGCATTTTTTTGGTAGCTCTTCCTATTTCAGTCGAAATTGTCGAAATATACCTACCACCAGGGCCGGCGCTAAGACTTTTGACGTCACGGGCAAGCCCAATTCTGCCGCCCCCCCTCCCACTTTTTTTCGTGCGCTCGGAAATCATTTAACATAGAACTCACGTATGTTAGACAATAATGCATAGTAATAGTTTTTTGTTTTCACACTACACATTTATTTATATATTTTGATTCTTAACAGTCTATGTACTCTATGTTACACCTATGTTCCTAACGCCGGCCCTGCCTACCACTTTTCGGGCCAGACCGCCAATTATTTCATAGATACGGCTGGGCTCACTGCTCACGCGTTGCTGCATGCGAAAGATGATTCACGAATGATCGCTCGAGACATCTGGTGCGAGACGCGCAGCGGCAGCATCGGTTTTATTTTGTTTCGAGCGGTCACACATTTGATTGAAGAGTGAATTATCATTCGAATCATTTGGTTGAAGTATTCGAGATATCTCGAATGATTTTGATAATCGAATGACCGATTATTTTTCATTCGAATGATCCCATCACTAATATTTGCCAATTTCTCAGCGATCAGCTGTGATAGAGAAATAGAAGGTTTTAAGTTGCATTCCATCTTCCATCTGCCACAAATCCTAAATTTTGAAAAACATTTCAGGTGTTTAAAAGTGATTAACATATTGCTGAGCTCGAAGAGAACACTGTAACTTTGAATCGCAATCCTGGGAAGGATGAATTACAACGCTAACGCAGGGTCACGACCACGTAAGTCCTCAGTTTAGAATTTCGTTCTTGACATGGGAAATCTGTGATAAATAGTGAAGTTTTCAAGGGGCGCCAAAAACGTTTAGTTTGAAAGGGTGCAATACAAGAACATACATGCATGGTGATGGTACACTTAACATAACCACGTATTTAGGGGTTTTTACAGGTTCAACATATACACAACAGTGGAATTCTGCACAAAAAAATCTTAGATGGAGCACTTTTTATATGGGAATTTGTTTTTACAAAATACCAGCAACACCTTGATGTCAAATACAAAATAGTTACATTGGAGAATAGACAACAAGAGATATGATAATGAAAATATGTATACTAAGTGACATATAAATCCGAACACCCAGTTTAAATGGTTTTATTTTAATAAAAGTTGGTGAATGTATTTATCTTACTGTATATAACAAGTGAAAAATTTTTCAGCCTTATCAGTTGGACATTCCGGTTTTTATACTGTTTTTTTTTAATTCACTAACACTCTAAAAATGAATATTTCAGCCGCAGTAAAGAATCAACGTTGGCGAATTTTGGTTCTTGACATCCTTTAGGATCGGTTACAATGCCTAGAGTACGGAGACCTGTACGATTTCGTCAACTTAGTGAGTTTGATAGGGGCCGTATAGTGGGACTTCGGAAAGCTGGACTTTCTTTTCGGGCAATTGCAAGAAGTGTAGACACTGTGGTTAGGTGTTGTCAGGCATGGCTTCGAGAAGGCTGTACGCAAAGAGCAAGTGACACTGGACGCCGCCGTAGAACAACAGACCGTGAAGATCGCCGCCTAAGATTATTGGCCTTAAGGGTCCGTTTCTCCACTACCAGGTCCATTGCAAATGAATGGTTTGCAGAGCACGGAAGACCTATTGGCATGAGAAGCGTTTACCGACGAATGAGAAGTTTTGGCTTGTTTTCATACTGGCCACACTGGGTTGTCCCTTTAACTCGAGAACACCGACGTAATCGCCTTGAGTGGTGCAGACAATGGTCACTCTGGGATCAGGAATGGAACATTATTGTCTTTAGTGATGAGTCTCGATTTTGTTTAGGCATGCACGATGGTCAGGCCAGGGTTAGAAGGCGACGTGGTGAAAGGAGGAATCTACAGTTTTTTGTTGAAAGACATGTTCATCACACTGTTGGAGTTATGGTTTGGGGTGCTATAGCTTATGGTTCCAGGTCACCTTTAATCTTCATCAGAGGTAACATGAACGCGCAGCGTTATATCCACGAAGTTCTAGAACCCCATCTTTTACCCTTTCTTGACACCCTGGCAGATCCAACTTTCCAACAAGATAATGCCTGACCACATGTTGCAAGAGTCACAATAGACTTCGTTCAACATAATGATGTCACATTGTTACCATGGCCACCAAGATCTCCCGACTTATCCCCAATTGAGCACGTGTGGGATAAGATGGGTAGGAGATTGCTCAATTTGCAACATCCTCCTCAGACTCTAGAAGCACTTCGAGAGGAGTTGGTGGTTGCCTGGAATGAGATACCACAGGAGGACATTGACCACCTGATCAGAAGCATGCCTAAGCGCGTTGGAGAATGCATAGCACATCAGGGTGCATCCACACATTATTAAAGGTCAAAGGGCTTTAAAGCAGTGCAATCATTTTGAAGTTTTTATCATTTACTTATTATGCTTCATTAAATACTTATACAAAATTTTATTAAAATAAAAGCATTTAAACTGGGTGTTCGGATTTATATGTCACTTAGTATAGTTCGACAATAATGGCTGGGGACCTTGGGCAGAAGCTCCAACACTTTCAAAATATTTTCTTTCAGTTCTTTGTGAATTTTCTTCTTAACTCCTTCTGTTATTGGTATCTTTTTCTCTTTCCTTATGTCGTCCCGTTCATCTGCTTCATTTTCTGCAATACTGGTACTTCTTCTAACCCATCACCTAAATGTATCTTCCCCTAGATCAAGAGTTATAATGAAGAAACATCTGCAAACCCTCACTTTCTCTCTACTACATTTTGGCAAGAATATATCGCGTCTTTCCTTCTTTTTCGTGCTGCTTGCATCTTTTCTCCTTCTTCGAACATATCTTGTGTTAGTCAATCCTTTGACGAATGCTTTCTTTTGAGGCCACCTACTAAAGTTCAAAAATTTCTTGAAAATTCGTTGCGTATCATCTTCGGATATCATGTTGCAAAGAAAAGATCTCTCGCTTTTCTTACTGGATGAGGTGTGACTACAACGCTCCTCCTCTTTACATAATTTTGTTTTATTTTACCGTCTTCGGATTTCTTGTACCCAACGTAAGATACCCCGGCAACTCTGGTTTTTTTAGCAAGTGGGCTACGGGAAGAGTTTATGGACCAGATTATCTTATTCAAAAGCTAGTTATCCTTGAAATGAATAATGTAACTCCAAAGATGGAAATACTGTGTCCAAACTAAACGAATGGGCGGTATTAAGGCAGTTTCTCATGAAAAATTATCGTCAAAGGACAATCTGCACCATCTACATGGTTCAAAGAAAAAAGAGACACTGTTTCGACTGATCAAAATCATTATCATTTAACATGTTATATTTAGTTCATCAATGTAAATAAATAAAATAGGACTTACCTCAGTTGGACTATTTTGTTAGAAGAAAATGAGTCCTATTACTTTCCGGACAAACCCTGTATATTACGAACTTATCTACCCTCTTCAATTCTGGACTTAATATCATGAAGTTTATATCCATTTGAATCAAAACTGCAACTGCATCACATTAAACATTATATGCTCTAATGTATTTGTTACATTTTTTTGCAGCATTTGGTCGTAAAGTGAAAAGATTGAGCGATGTTAATGCTATGGGCTACAGTCCTGGGTTTAACCCACATGACCAACAAAATGTACCATCAGGAGGAAATATGTACCCAAATCTAGAACCTAGTGTTAACACATACCAACAAGGTTATACATTTTTCAATTACATAAAGCTCTTATATCCTTATCATGTATTTTTTTAGGATTTTCAACTAGTACTCCTTATGAGCCCCAAATGCAAAGTTCTTCATTCCAAAATATACCCCAGCAAGCACCTCAAGACATGTCATACAACTATAAACCTTCTGCTACTTCAAATCTAGATGTTTTTGCTGCACCTATGGTCCAAGATATGGCACTTCAATATGGGCAGCAGGTAACTGTCACTATATCATATACAGGTGACTTCGAAGTTGAGTCATGTATTTTAACAGTGAGTAGATCTGATCAAAAGAAATGTGTTTTTCCTTTACCATTTTTCTGGTAAAATTAAAGTAACAAAGTTATAACCCTTTGGAAGTTTGAGTACCGCCCTGTCTCAATAATAATATCATGTGCTCGTGTTTGGCAACAACGGATATAATCCGCCTTATCGGTTCATCGCATCGGAAACAAAAAAGCGAAAGAATTTGGAACGATGTTTTTACAATTATTTTATTCAGTTCAGTTATGCATACAGTCGGTAACGCGTGTGAATAGTGTCTGTTGCGTGGCTCAAACGAAATAAAAAATGGCACATGTTTATGCGGATCGGTTTCCCAATCGAGTGCAACCAACCCCTCGTGCCTTTGTTAATGTAGTACAACGGGCTCGTGAATCAGGTGACTTAAGACCTCACAGGGGAGGGCATGCCGGTGCTCCAAGACCGCACGATCAAATACAGGTCCGCACTGAAATACTTGTCGGAAGGATACTTTATAAAACAAGGTAACATTTTTTTTTAATTTTATTTTTATTTTTACACACATATTTTGGTTTATCTTCCTTCTACAATCATTATCTGAAAATTAATGACTCAACTTCAAAGTCACCCTGTAGATACTCATTAAATGTGGCTTTTTAATTAAAACATTTTAACCACTGATTAACACATTCTGCCTGAAGATATCCAAACTCTGTTCAAAAAATTATCTTATTTATTATATATACCTACCAAAGTAGGTTTTCAAAAAAAGGTTAATGTGTCATAGATAGCTGTGTAGCTAAAAATTATATGAGCATACACAAGGTGGCTACAGCACCATCTTTGAGACACTAGCTTTGTCAAGTTTTTTATTGTTAAATAGAGAAATAGCCGAGACAAATTCTCATAGATGATGCTACAGCTGATTGTATCTAGGATAATTTTTTGGACACGATAATATTGCATTAGTTTGGCTATCTTCAGAGATTACTTTAATCAAGGGTTTAACTGAACTGTGTTAAATATTTATTGGAATCACTTATTTATTTTTGCAGTTAGCAGGTGTTGGAACATCCAAAATCAAAAATGAGGTAGAGAAATTTGTGTCTATCTCAGAATTGAAGTACTATTTTGCAGTAGACACGAAATACGTATTGAATAAGCTGTGGTTACTCTTCTTCCCATTTACTAACAAGGTATTAAATAATTTTTTTTCAATTATCCAAAATAACTCGGAAACTCAGCTAAACTTATGTTCTGTTTATTTGTTTCAGGATTGGTCAATCAAATATAAGCCAGATGCCCCTATAAAGCCCCGATATGAGGTCAATGCCCCTGATTTGTATATTCCCACAATGGCATACATCACATATGTTTTGGTTGCTGGTTATGTATTGGGAATGCAAGACCGCTTCACTCCAGAACAACTGGGAATTCTAGCTTCATCAGCTTTGGCTTGGATCTGCATAGAACTCGTAGTCTACTATTGCACTCTGTATATTCTCCAGGTGCAAACTATGTTAAGGGCATATGATATGCTAGCGTACTCTGGATACAAGTTTGTGGGGATAATATTCAGCATCCTGATAAGTCTTGTTGGTAAGTCAGTTTATCCTCGTTCTCACTGCAACACTCAAGTATAGATTTCAATGTCATAAGATGCAACTTAAATGTGCATTGCTCTTCCAATGTCCAAGCAGCACTCTGCAACTGAGTAACATTATCACTTAAGTCGTGACTACAAATACAAAACCTTAACCCTTAATATGTTTTCAGGAGGTTTGACTGCTTACTACTGTGTCTTGATCTACGCAAACCTGGCCTTGGCTTTCTTTCTGACCAGAAACTTGAGAGTGAAAGTCTTGGCTGGGCCAATGGATGGACCATCAAACTACTATGATGGAGCAGGGCATTCTGTGGGACATAGGAGGAAGGTGTATTTCCTTCTATGTATGACAGCCATTCAGCCTGTCTTGTCTTGGTGGCTGTCATACAGCGTGGTGTCATATGGGGCTCCAGTACCAGCAGTAGACGCGAAAGCACTGTGAGGGATGTTCTAGGCTATCAGTTTTGTGAATATGGAACTTATTTTGCTACTTATTTTTTACATGTGCATTATTTATATTCTAATAAATCTATAACTAAATTGAGTTCATTGTTTTCGTCCACTTCCAACGAGGAGCTGCGACACTTCGTATACCACCTCGTGTTTATATGATCCTGAGCATTTTTTTCCTACCAATCCTCACAATTTTGCAGGGAAGGTGGTCGTATGTATGCTTAAAAAATTGTATCAGGATTACAGAAGTCGGAAGACGTGTGCAAGTCGGCAATTTAAATTTGCAGGAGCAAGGCACCGTTTCGTAGACATCCTTGCGTTTCTGTGAACCTAGTAGCACCATTCTATTAATTCATTTTGACGATTTGGCGAGGAACGTGGTCAGATATGTGCAAGAGAAGTAGCGAGAGGTGTGCACGTTGGTATTTTGAATGTCTGGCCAATTTGATATCAGGAGCAGCGTCGTTTCAAACACCTCCTCGCGTTTGATCTTGTTTGTAATCCTCGATTTATTTATTTGACAATCTGCAAGGAACTTGGCCAGATCAGTGCGATGATCAGAAGCTGAACATTTTGTATCAGGATCGCAGAAGTGGCGAGAGGTGTGGAAATCGATAATTCGAATTTCCCGCCAATTTGATATCAGGAGCAAAGTACCGTTTCATATACCTCCTCGCGTTTCTGTGATCCTGGTAGCAATTTCATACCCTTTCATTTTGACAATCTGCAAGGAACTTGGCCAGATCAGTGCGATGATCAGAAGCTGAACATTTTGTATCAGGATCGCAGAAGTGGCGAGAGGTGTGGAAGTCGATAATTTGAATTTCCCGCCAATTTGATATCAGGAGCAAAGCACCGTTTCATATACCTCCTCGCGTTTCTGTAATCCTGGTAGCAATTTCATACCCTTTCATTTTTACAATTTGCAAGGAACATGGCCAGATGAATGCGATGATCAGAAAAAGAACATTCTGTATCAGGATCGCAGAAGTGACGAGAGGTGTGGAAGTCGATAATTCGAATTTCCCGTTAACTTGATATCAGGAACAAAGCACTGTTTCAAATACCTCCTCGCGTTTCTGTGATCCTGGTAGCAATTTCATATCCGTTCATTTTGACGATTTGCAAGGAATATGGCCAGACGAGTGCGATAATCAGGAAAAGGACATTCTGTATCAGGATCGCAGAAGTGGCGAGAGGGGTGGAAGTCGATAATTCGAATTTCCCGCCAATTTGATATCAGGAGCAAAGTACCGTTTCATATACCTCCTCGCGTTCCTGTGATCCTGGTAGCAATTTCATATCCTTTCATTTTGACGATTTGCAAGGAACGTGGCCGATAAGTGCGATGATCAGAAACTGAACATTTCGTATTAGGATCGCAGAAGTGGCGAGAGGTGTGGAAGTCGATCATTCGAATTTCCCGCCAATTTGATATCAGGAGCAAAGTACCGTTTCATATACCTCCTCGCGTTTCTGTGATCCTGGTAGCAATTTCATATCCTTTCATTTTGACGATTTGCAAGGAACGTGGCCGATAAGTGCGATGATCAGAAACTGAACATTTCGTATTAGGATCGCAGAAGTGGCGAGAGGTGTGGAAGTCGGTAATTCGAATTTCCCGCCAATTTGATATCAGGAGCAAAGTACCGTTTCATATACCTCCTCGCGTTTCTGTGATCCTGGTAGCAATTTCATATCCTTTCATTTTGACGATTTGCCAGGAACATGGCCAGATGAGTACGATTATCAGAAAAATAACATTCTGTATCAGGATCGCAGAAGTGGCGAGAGGTGTGGAAGTCGGTAATTCGAATTTCCCGCCAATTTGATATCAGGAGCAAAGTACCGTTTCATATACCTCCTCGCGTTTCTGTGATCCTGGTAGCAATTTCATATCCTTTCATTTTGACGATTTGCCAGGTAAATGGCCAGATGAGTACGATGATCAGGAAAATAACATTCTGTATCAGGATCGCAGAAGTGGCGAGAGGTGTGGAAGTCGGTAATTCGAATTTCCCGCCAATTTGATATCAGGAGCAAAGTACCGTTTCATATACCTCCTCGCGTTTCTGTGATCCTGGTAGCAATTTCATATCCTTTCATTTTGACGATTTGCCAGGTAAATGGCCAGATGAGTACGATGATCAGGAAAATAACATTCTGTATCAGGATCGCAGAAGTGGCGAGAGGTGTGGAAGTCGGTAATTCGAATTTCCCGCCAATTTGATATCAGGAGCAAAGTACCGTTTCATATACCTCCTCGCGTTTCTGTGATCCTGGTAGCAATTTCATATCCTTTCATTTTGACGATTTGCCAGGTAAATGGCCAGATGAGTACGATGATCAGAAAAATAACATTCTGTATCAGGATCGCAGAAGTGGCGAGAGGTGTGGAAGTCGGTAATTCGAATTTCCCGCCAATTTGATATCAGGAGCAAAGTACCGTTTCATATACCTCCTCGCGTTTCTGTGATCCTGGTAGCAATTTCATATCCTTTCATTTTGACGATTTGCAAGGAACGTGGCCGATAAGTGCGATGATCAGAAACTGAACATTTCGTATTAGGATCGCAGAAGTGGCGAGAGGTGTGGAAGTCGATCATTCGAATTTCCCGCCAATTTGATATCAGGAGCAAAGTACCGTTTCATATACCTCCTCGCGTTTCTGTGATCCTGGTAGCAATTTCATATCCTTTCATTTTGACGATTTGCAAGGAACGTGGCCGATAAGTGCGATGATCAGAAACTGAACATTTCGTATTAGGATCGCAGAAGTGGCGAGAGGTGTGGAAGTCGGTAATTCGAATTTCCCGCCAATTTGATATCAGGAGCAAAGTACCGTTTCATATACCTCCTCGCGTTTCTGTGATCCTGGTAGCAATTTCATATCCTTTCATTTTGACGATTTGCCAGGAACATGGCCAGATGAGTACGATTATCAGAAAAATAACATTCTGTATCAGGATCGCAGAAGTGGCGAGAGGTGTGGAAGTCGGTAATTCGAATTTCCCGCCAATTTGATATCAGGAGCAAAGTACCGTTTCATATACCTCCTCGCGTTTCTGTGATCCTGGTAGCAATTTCATATCCTTTCATTTTGACGATTTGCCAGGTACATGGCCAGATGAGTACGATGATCAGAAAATAACATTCTGTATTAGGATCGCAGAAGTGGCGAGAGGTGTGGAAGTCGATAATTCGAATTTCCCGCCAATTTGATATCAGGAGCAAAGTACCGTTTCATATACCTCCTCGCGTTTCTGTGATCCTGGTAGCAATTTCATATCCTTTCATTTTGACGATTTGCCAGGAACATGGCCAGATGAGTACGATTATCAGAAAAATAACATTCTGTATCAGGATCGCAGAAGTGGCGAGAGGTGTGGAAGTCGGTAATTCGAATTTCCCGCCAATTTGATATCAGGAGCAAAGTACCGTTTCATATACCTCCTCGCGTTTCTGTGATCCTGGTAGCAATTTCATATCCTTTCATTTTGACGATTTGCAAGGAACGTGGCCGATAAGTGCGATGATCAGAAACTGAACATTTCGTATTAGGATCGCAGAAGTGGCGAGAGGTGTGGAAGTCGATCATTCGAATTTCCCGCCAATTTGATATCAGGAGCAAAGTACCGTTTCATATACCTCCTCGCGTTTCTGTGATCCTGGTAGCAATTTCATATCCTTTCATTTTGACGATTTGCAAGGAACGTGGCCGATAAGTGCGATGATCAGAAACTGAACATTTCGTATTAGGATCGCAGAAGTGGCGAGAGGTGTGGAAGTCGATCATTCGAATTTCCCGCCAATTTGATATCAGGAGCAAAGTACCGTTTCATATACCTCCTCGCGTTTCTGTGATCCTGGTAGCAATTTCATATCCTTTCATTTTGACGATTTGCCAGGTACATGGCCAGATGAGTACGATGATCAGGAAAATAACATTCTGTATCAGGATCGCAGAAGTGGCGAGAGGTGTGGAAGTCGGTAATTCGAATTTCCCGCCAATTTGATATCAGGAGCAAAGTACCGTTTCATATACCTCCTCGCGTTTCTGTGATCCTGGTAGCAATTTCATATCCTTTCATTTTGACGATTTGCCAGGAACATGGCCAGATGAGTACGATTATCAGAAAAATAACATTCTGTATCAGGATCGCAGAAGTGGCGAGAGGTGTGGAAGTCGGTAATTCGAATTTCCCGCCAATTTGATATCAGGAGCAAAGTACCGTTTCATATACCTCCTCGCGTTTCTGTGATCCTGGTAGCAATTTCATATCCTTTCATTTTGACGATTTGCCAGGAACATGGCCAGATGAGTACGATTATCAGAAAAATAACATTCTGTATCAGGATCGCAGAAGTGGCGAGAGGTGTGGAAGTCGGTAATTCGAATTTCCCGCCAATTTGATATCAGGAGCAAAGTACCGTTTCATATACCTCCTCGCGTTTCTGTGATCCTGGTAGCAATTTCATATCCTTTCATTTTGACGATTTGCCAGGTACATGGCCAGATGAGTACGATGATCAGGAAAATAACATTCTGTATCAGGATCGCAGAAGTGGCGAGAGGTGTGGAAGTCGGTAATTCGAATTTCCCGCCAATTTGATATCAGGAGCAAAGTACCGTTTCATATACCTCCTCGCGTTTCTGTGATCCTGGTAGCAATTTCATATCCTTTCATTTTGACGATTTGCCAGGAACATGGCCAGATGAGTACGATTATCAGAAAAATAACATTCTGTATCAGGATCGCAGAAGTGGCGAGAGGTGTGGAAGTCGGTAATTCGAATTTCCCGCCAATTTGATATCAGGAGCAAAGTACCGTTTCATATACCTCCTCGCGTTTCTGTGATCCTGGTAGCAATTTCATATCCTTTCATTTTGACGATTTGCAAGGAACGTGGCCGATAAGTGCGATGATCAGAAACTGAACATTTCGTATTAGGATCGCAGAAGTGGCGAGAGGTGTGGAAGTCGATCATTCGAATTTCCCGCCAATTTGATATCAGGAGCAAAGTACCGTTTCATATACCTCCTCGCGTTTCTGTGATCCTGGTAGCAATTTCATATCCTTTCATTTTGACGATTTGCAAGGAACGTGGCCGATAAGTGCGATGATCAGAAACTGAACATTTCGTATTAGGATCGCAGAAGTGGCGAGAGGTGTGGAAGTCGATCATTCGAATTTCCCGCCAATTTGATATCAGGAGCAAAGTACCGTTTCATATACCTCCTCGCGTTTCTGTGATCCTGGTAGCAATTTCATATCCGTTCATTTTGACGATTTGCAAGGAACATGGCCAGATGAGTACGATTATCAGGAAAATAACATTCTGTATCAGGATCGCAGAAGTGGCGAGAGGTGTGGAAGTCGATAATTCGAATTTCCCGCCAATTTGATATCAGGAGCAAAGTACCGTTTCATATACCTCCTCGCGTTTCTGTGATCCTGGTAGCAATTTCATATCCTTTCATTTTGACGATTTGCAAGGAACGTGGCCGATAAGTGCGATGATCAGAAACTGAACATTTCGTATTAGGATCGCAGAAGTGGCGAGAGGTGTGGAAGTCGATCATTCGAATTTCCCGCCAATTTGATATCAGGAGCAAAGTACCGTTTCATATACCTCCTCGCGTTTCTGTGATCCTGGTAGCAATTTCATATCCTTTCATTTTGACGATTTGCAAGGAACGTGGCCGATAAGTGCGATGATCAGAAACTGAACATTTCGTATCAGGATCGCAGAAGTGGCGAGAGGTGTGGAAGTCGGTAATTCGAATTTCCCGCCAATTTGATATCAGGAGCAAAGTACCGTTTCATATACCTCCTCGCGTTTCTGTGATCCTGGTAGCAATTTCATATCCTTTCATTTTGACGATTTGCCAGGAACATGGCCAGATGAGTACGATTATCAGAAAAATAACATTCTGTATCAGGATCGCAGAAGTGGCGAGAGGTGTGGAAGTCGGTAATTCGAATTTCCCGCCAATTTGATATCAGGAGCAAAGTACCGTTTCATATACCTCCTCGCGTTTCTGTGATCCTGGTAGCAATTTCATATCCTTTCATTTTGACGATTTGCAAGGAACGTGGCCGATAAGTGCGATGATCAGAAACTGAACATTTCGTATTAGGATCGCAGAAGTGGCGAGAGGTGTGGAAGTCGATCATTCGAATTTCCCGCCAATTTGATATCAGGAGCAAAGTACCGTTTCATATACCTCCTCGCGTTTCTGTGATCCTGGTAGCAATTTCATATCCTTTCATTTTGACGATTTGCCAGGAACATGGCCAGATGAGTACGATTATCAGAAAATAACATTCTGTATCAGGATCGCAGAAGTGGCGAGAGGTGTGGAAGTCGATAATTCGAATTTCCCGCCAATTTGATATCAGGAGCAAAGTACCGTTTCATATACCTCCTCGCGTTTCTGTGATCCTGGTAGCAATTTCATATCCTTTCATTTTGACGATTTGCAAGGAACGTGGCCGATAAGTGCGATGATCAGAAACTGAACATTTCGTATTAGGATCGCAGAAGTGGCGAGAGGTGTGGAAGTCGATCATTCGAATTTCCCGCCAATTTGATATCAGGAGCAAAGTACCGTTTCATATACCTCCTCGCGTTTCTGTGATCCTGGTAGCAATTTCATATCCTTTCATTTTGACGATTTGCAAGGAACGTGGCCAGATAAGTGCGATGATCAGAAACTGAACATTTCGTATCAGGATCGCAGAAGTGGCGAGAGGTGTGGAAGTCGGTAATTCGAATTTCCCGCCAATTTGATATCAGGAGCAAAGTACCGTTTCATATACCTCCTCGCGTTTCTGTGATCCTGGTAGCAATTTCATATCCTTTCATTTTGACGATTTGCCAGGAACATGGCCAGATGAGTACGATTATCAGAAAAATAACATTCTGTATCAGGATCGCAGAAGTGGCGAGAGGTGTGGAAGTCGATAATTCGAATTTCCCGCCAATTTGATATCAGGAGCAAAGTACCGTTTCATATACCTCCTCGCGTTTCTGTGATCCTGGTAGCAATTTCATATCCTTTCATTTTGACGATTTGCAAGGAACGTGGCCGATAAGTGCGATGATCAGAAACTGAACATTTCGTATTAGGATCGCAGAAGTGGCGAGAGGTGTGGAAGTCGATCATTCGAATTTCCCGCCAATTTGATATCAGGAGCAAAGTACCGTTTCATATACCTCCTCGCGTTTCTGTGATCCTGGTAGCAATTTCATATCCTTTCATTTTGACGATTTGCAAGGAACGTGGCCGATAAGTGCGATGATCAGAAACTGAACATTTCGTATTAGGATCGCAGAAGTGGCGAGAGGTGTGGAAGTCGATCATTCGAATTTCCCGCCAATTTGATATCAGGAGCAAAGTACCGTTTCATATACCTCCTCGCGTTTCTGTGATCCTGGTAGCAATTTCATATCCTTTCATTTTGACGATTTGCCAGGAACATGGCCAGATGAGTACGATTATCAGAAAAATAACATTCTGTATCAGGATCGCAGAAGTGGCGAGAGGTGTGGAAGTCGGTAATTCGAATTTCCCGCCAATTTGATATCAGGAGCAAAGTACCGTTTCATATACCTCCTCGCGTTTCTGTGATCCTGGTAGCAATTTCATATCCTTTCATTTTGACGATTTGCAAGGAACGTGGCCGATAAGTGCGATGATCAGAAACTGAACATTTCGTATTAGGATCGCAGAAGTGGCGAGAGGTGTGGAAGTCGATCATTCGAATTTCCCGCCAATTTGATATCAGGAGCAAAGTACCGTTTCATATACCTCCTCGCGTTTCTGTGATCCTGGTAGCAATTTCATATCCTTTCATTTTGACGATTTGCAAGGAACGTGGCCGATAAGTGCGATGATCAGAAACTGAACATTTCGTATTAGGATCGCAGAAGTGGCGAGAGGTGTGGAAGTCGATCATTCGAATTTCCCGCCAATTTGATATCAGGAGCAAAGTATCGTTTCATATACCTCCTCGCGTTTCTGTGATCCTGGTAGCAATTTCATATCCTTTCATTTTGACGATTTGCCAGGTACATGGCCAGATGAGTACGATGATCAGGAAAATAACATTCTGTATCAGGATCGCAGAAGTGGCGAGAGGTGTGGAAGTCGGTAATTCGAATTTCCCGCCAATTTGATATCAGGAGCAAAGTACCGTTTCATATACCTCCTCGCGTTTCTGTGATCCTGGTAGCAATTTCATATCCTTTCATTTTGACGATTTGCCAGGTACATGGCCAGATGAGTACGATGATCAGGAAAATAACATTCTGTATCAGGATCGCAGAAGTGGCGAGAGGTGTGGAGGTCGATGATTCGAATTTCAATTCTATATCATGTCCAAAGAAATGTGTTTGGAATCAAAACAAAATATTTGATTATCATTTTATATTTAAAGACTGTTGAGTATTACAGCAGTTCAAGACAATAAATTAGAATAACTTTACATTCAATAATTTACAATCATACCTATACAGTTTTGTAAAAAAAACTATCAAGCCAGGTAACTATATCTAAAATAGTGACAATCAATGTGATTTCACATTACACAATAAATCCTTTTTAATATAAAATAGAATTTTTCTAAAACTATGTACATTTTATACATTGTTCAGTCTAAAAAGGAAAATTAAATATCATACCACTCAAAATGCTTATAATAGAATCAAAAATAATGCTGCTGAGAAAAACTGATTCTGTTAAAAAATACACGTATGTTATATGGATACCAAAATTCCTTTAACATACAATATTTAAAATAAATGATTAGGTAGTGGTAAGTAAATGAAGATTAAGTAAACGAAAAATAAGCTTAAAGTAATCATAAATATAATCAGTCAGTCGGGTTTGGTACAATTTCAATTATTTTTACTGTATCAGGAGCCTTCTTGCAAATATATCAAATACCAGTGAATATTCATGTGTAAAAAACTGTCAAAATAAATATCACTATACTGCAAATTTGTGAAGAAAACTCCCAATACTATTGTTGCATTGCTAATAGTAAGAACATCCCCCTTAATCTTTAACACACTGAACAACAAATACTAGACTACAAAAAATGACTATGTTCAATGTCATGGATAGTTTTTCACGGTGCCCTTCGCAATATTTTGAAAATTGTGTGATTATTAGGATATCATTCTCAAGTGAAACACAGTCTTCAACACCGGCATTCGTTACAAAATATACGAGTCTCAAGCATTCAAAAATTTTGTCAAAAATAAGATTTATCAATTTTAAGTCAGAAATACTGGAAGATCACTGTTGAAAACAAAAAAAACTATCTTTGTGAGAATTATTGCAATTTTTGGAATGATAAAGTAAACATTTCTCTTAAATGAGAATATCTGTAGTTAATCACACACAATTGACAATTTAAACAGCACGATAAAAGTATTGCACTGTGGATCAAAATAAATTGAGGTGATGCTTGTACTATCACTCGGCAAAAGCATATATTCGATTGGACCAAACAATATCACGTTTAAACGTCTAATAATTTGACATTTATGATATGAACACATCTCTAACAAACGCTAAAGGAAATGTTTATGCGATACAGTTCTAGGGAAATTTGGAGGCAAGTTTTTTGTTCAAATTCACGCCATATCAGATACTACATCCAAAACGAAGTGTTACAAAATAGAAGAAAACTGTCAGTTGTTGAAATTACATTTAAAGTTAAAAATAATTTAATATTGTCATTAATGAACACTAAAGGCTAAAGGCTACATAAAAAATTTAGTATAACTGACCAATTCGAAAAAAAATTCAAGATAATTATAATATATATATATATATATAGGTGAAAAATTAAAGCTTCCGCCTTTTGTTGGGTACTTCGACAAAATTTAAGCAAAGAGGACTCTTTATACTTTTTTTAATTTTCTCTAGCTTTCAATGGACTTTGCCATCATCATCAGGAGCTGCAATTACAATGATAACAGTAGCAACAAAAGTGTAAAATGAATTTAAATTGACTTAACTTACAGTAGTATGTGAGGATGTTGCTAATTGTTGTTTACGTATAGGATGAGGGAAACGTCCAGTAACATGGTGAGAGCTGGATAGATTGTACAATGGTCAAAATTATATAAAATATGACAAGAACAAGTTAAAAACAGATTAAAAATTATTTAAAAAACATTAGAGCATTACATCGTGAAGCCACTTGATGATTGCACAAATTAGTGGTCATGGAATAATGAGTGAGATGACACCCTTTTGACAGAAGGCCGAAGGATGTCAATGTCTGTGTTGAAAGATGGAACGAATTGTGGGCGTGTGCCAAACGTTGCCAAATCACTTCAGATGATGTGATTTTCAGAATTTTATGTAAGAATTTGTTAAACCGACCAGAGGCAGTTGAATAAACTATATTTTAATTAATGGGAATTTAAATTAACAATTATTAATAAATCGTGAGAAGAGAATTATTATATTTTGAGTGGAATGAAATTTACTGGTGGAATCGGCCAAAACACAGATTCTAATTATGGTTGTGAAGAGTCGAAATTTGGGGAGATATGTAAGTTCTCCAATTTTTCGCAGTTTAGCAAATATGAGTAAATGACACTCAGTTGTTTAACATCTGTCTTTTTGTTGATACAGTTGTTATTCATGAAGATGTGGGACATTTCCAGGAATAAACGTTTGGAAAGGTGTTTTTCTTTATCAAGAACTTTGATACTTGTGTAATTCATAGAATGTCCTGTTGTGTTAACATGAGATGCTAGAGCGCATCTTTCAGGATGAAGCCTAGCATCACTTTTGTGTGATGTAATCCTTCCTTTAAGAGATCTGGAGGTCTGACCTATGTATATTTGGTTGCAGTTGTTGCAATTGATGGAGTAGACTGTGTTGGTTAAGGAAGCTTTAATTTTTCACCTAACTGGTCTAGACGACAATGACCACGTCTCAAGTTATATATATATATATATAATAAAAAGGATATAACAGTGAAGCATCGTTTCTTTTTTCAATTTTTTGTTCGAAAATACACGTTGTTGAGTTTAGGGGTGAAAATTCAGCTAAGATTTCTTGACCCAATATGCCTCAATTTGGATTGATTCAGATTTGGATATCTTCGCGAGCAATTTTTATATGCTATAGCCTTTGTGTCTTTCTTGAAAAATGTCCTGGATCCCATTATGTATTTTGTAGTCAGCTATAGAGTGTAGTTTTTGATATGGCAGACACCTTAAGTTATGCAAGTACCACAACTTTAGTCAAAGCATTTACAATGCCAAAACGATCAGATTTTACCATCTAATAAATATTTAAATAGTTTTGGTCATAATACCCATCACTATATCATTACTAAAGGGAAAGTAGAACCACCACTTCAAACCTTACAAAAAATAATACTAATGACTACAGATGACTAGTTTTTTGACAACAGCGGGTCCAAATTGCCCATGAGATTGAGTTGCTATATTTTGTAAACCACGGGCAAATTATCTTAAGAGATAGCAAATCACGAAAACTTGATGATCGATTCTACAAAATTTAAAATAACTAACCCGACCATAAACAGGACTGGAATATAATACTGATAACAAAACAATCTCACTCGTTTCAGAACCAGTGGTGGTTGTACCGTTCCCCTTAGAAGCACATTTCCTATTCCTCCGTGGAAATTTGCGTGCTAGCGCTGGAAAACGACCCTCTAGCCTCCCCGCTGATGCAACTGTCTGGCACCGTGATGAAATTGCACTTTTTATAACTCGTCCAGTTCGACGAGCTGCACACTCTCTTGAGGATACTTTTCCTCTCATTTTCAGGTTTGCAAGTCACTATCACTTCAGGTATCACTCTACTTTTTTGCGTGAACGCATCCTCGTGCTCGAAGCTCTCGTGTACATTCTCGAAACTTTTGTTCTGTGGCATGAGGGATTTCCGTGGTTTCTCAAACACTCCTAACGTTTGTTTGGAACCCATGCCGAAGATCTTACAGACCTCCCGTTTCACTCTTTTGTTCCTGTACCCGAAGAGGAACGGAGAAATGATGTTGGAGAAGACCAGCAACATGAGTGAGAGGTAGTTGAAGATCTGGCTGGTATTGATGCCGACACATTTGGAGCTGAGGATGAGCGTGATGCCATAAGGAACGTAACAGACGAGCACTAAGAATATCACTAGGATGCTAATTTTGGCCGCTCGGGTTTCTTCACGGTACCGAAACACTGAAGCGTTGGAGATTTTGTGTTTTATGGTGGTAATGAAACTTCGGCCACTGGGAGTTCGGTTGACGGAAGTTGGTACTACTGTCTGGATCTCCATGTGCTCCACTTTGAACGGAACGTTCTCCTTGTCAATGCTGGAGAAATTCGGCGCTGAATGCACCTGAAACAAAAGAAAATCCCGTTACAATCACGAATAGGACTCACTTGTAACTTATACAAATCATATATTGGCGCCCAACGTAGACACGCGACTTTAAAATTTTCTGACTTGTGTACGACAGATAAATGCACAAATATATTTCTGAAATGTATCTATAACACGCGTTTTTATTGTGATACACACAAGAGATTTACTCCGAAAATTATGGTCATAATTATGCCGAAAATTTTGGTTGTCGTATTACACGTAAAAGAATTCTTGTGAAAATTTTCATGGTAAAAATATAAAACCCGTTCTATAGAATATGCGCGATTATCGGCGCAAAGGGTTATTTCAGTGCATGTCAATATCAAATGTCAACATCAACAACATAACCTCACTTAACATTTGTGGGTGTGGTCCTGTTCGAGTCGTACGAAGAAGCGTTTATTGTTATTGTTTATTCATAGATTCATAATGTCGTGGAATCGGGAAGAAGTTACACTGTTGTTGGAAGAGTACCAAAAATGGCCAAACCAAATTTTCATGGTAAAAATATAAAACCCGTTCTATAGAATATGCGCGAGAATCGGCGCAGAGGGTTATTTCCGTGCATGTCAATATCAAATGTCAACATCAACAACATAACCTCACTTAACATTTGTGGGTGTGGTCCTGTTCGAGTCGTACGAAGAAGCGTTTATTGTTATTGTTTATTCATAGATTCATAATGTCGTGGAATCGGGAAGAAGTTACACTGTTGTTGGAGGAGTACCAAAAATGGCCAAACCTGTACAAGGTGAAGTCACAAAAATAGAAATTTGCGGCGTCAGGCGTTGGATGCGATAGTCCAAGCATTGAGAAGTTTTATAATATTAACCAAGATCTAAATTTCAAAAATAAATTTAAATCAACGACGTCTGTTGTCTTTCCGATTATATTGGACGTCATACCCGTTAAGGTTATGTCCATTCGAAAATATTACTCTAATGCGCAGGCGTATCATATGAATTACTCCGAAATTTTGTTTGCTTGTGTCATACACGTTGTAGAGAAAATCTTCAATATTTTTTCCATGCAAATTTTCGGCATAATTATGACCATAATTTTCGGAGTAATTCTCTTGTGTGTAAAACGGCTCATTATAGTCAATGAAATTTACTTCGAACCACGTTCAAACGTCAGTCATATGTAAAATGGCGTACGGATACTAGACATTCACATTTTGTAACTACTGTATACAGGGTGACTTCGAAGTTGAGTAATTTATTTTAACAGTGAGTAGATCTGATCAAAAGAAATGTTTTTTTCCTTTACCATTTTTCTGGTAAAATTAAAGTAACAAAGTTATAGCCCTTTGGAAGTTTGAGTACCACCCTGTCTCAATAATAATATTATGTGCTCGTGTTTGGCAACAACGGATATAATCCGCCTTATCGGTTCATCGCATCGGAAACAAAAAAGCGAAAGAATTTGGAACGATGTTTTTACAATTATTTCATTCAGTTATATACAGTCAGTGTCAGTCGGTAGTGGATAGTGGTGTCTGTTGCGTGGCTCAAACGAAATAAAAAATGGCACATGTTTATGCGGATCGGTTTCCCAATCGAGTGCAACCAAACCCTCGTGCCTTTGTTAATGTAGTACAACGGGCTCGTGAATCAGGTGACTTAAGACCTCACAGGGGAGAGCATGCCAGTGCTCCAAGACCGCACGATCAAATACAGGTCCGCACTGAAATACTTGTCGGTAGGATACTTTATAAAACAAGGTAAAATTTTTTTTTTATTTTTTTTTATTTTTACACACATATTTTGGTCTATCTTTCTTCTACAATCATTATCTGAAAATTAATGACTCAACTTCAAAGTCACCCTGTATAGATATAGATGCAACAGAATTTCTCGAACGTTTTTAAAAAAAACTTTACTGAGACAGCCAACGAAGTTAAGATCAAACTACATTGAAATACGTAAAATGGCGCCCAACTTAAGTCCAGGCATCAGATATGAGACGTGGGCATATTATGTAACCTGTGTAGGATGAATAAACAAAATGTATTAAAAAAATGCTTATTTACGTGGCAATCAATGAAAGTAATCCCAAACTAAATTTATGGGTCAGCGGTAGGCAAAATGGTGTCCTACGTGGGGCTAGCCACCAAGGGTGTACCTTTGACATTTTCTGACTCGCGTATGGTAGATATATGCACATATAGGTGAAAAATTAAAGCTTCCGCCTTTTGTTGGGTACTTCGACAAAATTTAAGCAAAGAGGACTCTTTATACTTTTTTAATTCTCTCTAGCTTTCAATGGACTTTGCCATCATCATCAGGAGCTGCAATTACAATGATAACAGTAGCAACAATAGTGTAAAATGAATTTGAATTGACTTAACTTACAGTAGTATGTGAGGATGTTGCTAATTGTTGTTTACGTTTAGGATGAGGGAAACGCCCAGTAACATGGTGAAAGCTGGATACATGGTAAATGGTTAAAATTATATAAAATATGACAAGACAAGTTAAAGCCAGATTAAAATTTATTTAGAAAACATTAGAGCATTACGTCGTGAAGCCACATGATGATTGCACAAAATGGTGGTCATGGAATAATGAGTGAGATGAACCTTTGACAGAAGGCCGAAGGTTGTCAATGTCTGTGTTGAAAGATGGAACGAATTGTGGGCGTGTGCCAAAACGTTGCCAAATCACTTCAGATGATGTGATTTTCAGAATGTTATGTAAGAAATTGTTAAACCGACCAGAGGCAGTTGAATAAACTATATTTTAATTAATGGGAAATTAAATTAACAATTATTATTAAATCGTGAGAAGAGAATTATTAGATTTTGAGTGGAATGAAATTTGTTGGTGGAATCGGCCAAAACACAGATTATATTTATGGTTGTGAAAAGTCGAAATTTGGGGAGATATGTAAGTTCTCCAATTTTTCGCAGTTTAGCAAATATGAGTAAATGACACTCAGTTGTTTAATATCTGTCTTTTTGTTGATACATTTGTTATTCATGAAAATGTGGGACATTTCAAGGAATAAACGTTTGGAAAGGTGTTTTTCTTTATCAAGAACTTTGATACTTGTGTAATTCATAGAATGCCCTGTTGTGTTTACATGAGATGCTAGAGCGCATCTTTCAGGACAATGACCACGTCTCAAGTTATATGCACATATATAGGTATATCTTTGAAATGTATTTTCAAAACGTATATTCACAACAAAAGTTAATGAAATTATGTTCAAGCGACGTTCAAATACCAGTGCTATGGAACATGGCGCCCAACTAGCAAAGTAGTGGTATAAGCTTTTGGTAAAAGAACCGTTCAGCCATAAAAGCTCTCTATTGTTGTTGCCTGAACACCAAAATGCTGGCTTAATGTTGTGTGGAATGCAGATTGGCTTTCTGCAACATATTTGCTCTAAAATGAAAGGTTTAAAATATTCTTATAGCATAGTTATACAACAGCTTATAGGGCAAATTTTTAACTGTTGCATAAACGTTTATACAACTACGTATATTTTATACGGCATATTTGCACGTTAGTCAAAATGGTTGTGTTGTGGCATCCATGGTAACGTTAATAAAAACAAACCCGAGCCTTGTTGTTTTGCTGTGCAATTTACTACTTTAGTCAACAAATTGCTCCCAACGGAAGCACTTATACAACTGTTGTTTAGTAACTGTTAAAGGCTATAAATATGCTAAATATGTTGGTAAACAACTTCACCATAACCTAACTTTCTGCTGTCACATTTTTGTAAAATGCCATAATCAATGTTTCAAGACAGACAACGAATGCATATTGATTCAAAAGGCTTTATCAACTGTTCAAACAGAAGATATAGATCTGGTACAAATTTTGGGTAAATCATTCGACTCCAAAATATTCTAATAACCTAAAGACAACATGGACGATGGACGATGTCATGATTGTACACAACCACCCGCCATATTGGGCAAACATTTATTCCTCTATTTAATATTAAATAATTATGTTTCAGTTCGAAATTACAGATATAAAGTGATAAACATTAGTGTAATTGTGTCTAAATATAGGATTTGTGGAAGATTTAACGCAGATGAGTTTAGTTTTCCATCTTAAAAATCTAGACATACTTTTGATCATTGTCAAAATATGAATCAAATGCGAAGCCCGTAGAAATTGCGTAACTAATTTGCACGATAATCACAATAAAATTTGCTGCGCAATAGCCCTATATCACAGTGTAGAAGTTTATCATATACATGCGTATGAAATTCACAATTGTCGATATGTAAGTAAACAAGATGACTGTAATGTGTTAGTTATATATTCTTCACTTCGTCTATACAATACATAAGAAATAGTTTGGTTGCAATAAAGTAGAATCACGTAACAGAATAGTTGTATAGTTGACAAAAACTGAATCTTAGACTGACGCAAATGTTCTATAGCGGCTGCAAGAGGCTTACACTTTTGTTTTATAACAAAAACTTGTCTTACCTTGGGCAGAGTGGCTCTGAGACTAGCCGGCCTGTGTACAGGCACCTGGATGTAATCCACCTGATGAGGGTTCAACGGTGCTGAGGCAGATCTCCGCATCCGCTCGCTGTTCTGGTGAGCAGCCGAGTAGATGCAGACGTAGATAACGCAGATCGCGACAAAAGGCGCCAAGATGACCAACAGGAAGTATCCTAGAGCGTAGACCGTGTTGAGGATCTTCAGGGTTTCACTGGGTTGGACAGCACGCGGCCTACAGAAATGCCAGACGGTACTATCGCTGTACGTCACTGAGCTCAGTACGGCGCAAAGGAGGGCCACGAACCAACTGATACCTGAAACAAATGAGAGTCTTTTACTATACCGTCGCAAAAAGCTCGTTTTCGAAGAAACAGATACATAACCTCACTTCACTATTCTATAGTATTTACAACGAAAGTTCAATATCGTCAAGTATTGGAGACACACCTAGTACTGCGTTGTACTTTTTCGCAGCAGCGACGCTTTTATGTGAGTTGTACCAGCAGGACGAAACAATCGATAAAGCTGCAAATCATTATGACTATACTATAACTATCTAAAACTGTAATGACTCATCGATGTTCACGTGAACACCAGTAGTGGGCTGTTCATAGGCGGGGTATGAATGTTTAACATGGGTGAACTAGATTTGTCACATGCTTAATAAAGAGTGGTTTGAAACATATTGTAAGTCAACAATTTGGGAATTACCTTTATTCATCGTCGCTTCCACTTATATCTGACAGTAATAAACTGTCGCTATCGCTTTCCTCGTTGAAATTGACTATAATTGGCTCTATGATGGTGTCGATGTGGCGGTCAAGCTGCCACATTTTTTGTTTCTTCCTTCACAACATGACGGATAGCATTCTGCCAAGCTTCGGGCGTTACTAGCTGTATGAAAGTCTCAAGTAAAACCTTAACGTCTGGTAATTTGAAGGTTGTGTTATGGCGCGCAATATTACCCTTCACTTGAGCTCTATTGGGTTCAGTTCACAGTGGTAGTGCGGTAACCGCAGCACAGTGACACCACATTGACGGGCCATCTCATCAGTCACGTAACTAATGTTCGCAGGTTTGTGCTGTTTAATTTTTTCATACAATTCCGCTTTCACACATGAATCGTCAAACGGGATTCCTTTTTCGCGCAACCATTGCTGCATGTCACTTTTTCGAGATCCCATAGTCGGTACACGTTCGGCTCGACGACTATGGTAGGAAGCATTATCCATGACGATCACAGAGTTGGGCTCAACTCGTTGAAGCACCCCTTGAAACCAGCTCTCGAAGCAGCTGGCATTCATTTCGTCATGGTAATCACCTCCTTTCTTAGAGACGAAAATCAAGTCACACTCTTCTAGAAAGTCACTATCGCTACCAATATGAGTTACGATCAATCTTTGACCTTTCCCTGATGGTCCACGAAGACCTGTTGACAAACCTTCAATGCTTGCTTGTAGGTTACTCACTACGTTTTTGTCTATCCAGGTTTTTTAACTGTGTGACCTGCATTTACCCATGTCTCGTCCAAATAATAGATTTTTCTGCTTTGTCGCCTATATTCAATCATTTCGCGTAGGTATTTTCGACGCCAGGCGACTATTTCAGGTCTCTCTATCAATACTGACTTCCGATTACGCGTTTCGTAACGAAAATTAATTTCGTGCAGGGATTTCCTCATTACCTCGACGCTCATTTGGGGTATAATTTCATTTTCCTTGATCGCTGCATGTACAGCCTTGAGGGTTGGTATCTCATTCCTAAAGAAGAATGAATGTACGGCTCGCCTTAACGCCATTTTGCTATCGTCATCCAATTTAACGGCCTTTCGTCCCTTCAAATTAAACTTTGGATCAGTAGTAGCTCCAGTTTTCTTGTTTTCATGCACCACCCTGCGAATGGTCCACTCTGGAACGCCTGTCATACTTTCACAACAAGTGCATCTCCCTGCGACATAGTTCTGTTCAGATAATTGAACACGTTGAGCACGATTTCTTTCGCGTCCCTCTTCAGTGCTTTACGAAGCCGTCTACTTGTTCCCCGGCTTTCAGTACTTCCACTCGTGCCATTTGTACTCTACATGGTTAAGTATAACCAAAACAGTAACCACAGAAACCACAACAATAACAATCACACAACAATTCTTATAAAAACACACAATATGCGATCGCTCAACGAAACACGTTCCAATGCGTTGCCGACGCCTATGAGTCTGCCGGTCGAGGCGCGTCTTTGATTTCATTGGTTCTACCGGCGGAGAACAATCAGCCATTATTTCCATCTCTGTCTGGGCTGTTGACCACCGCAAAGCCACAGAAACGACATATGTCGTACGCTATACGGCTGTACTGGAAGGAAGCCGGGATCGAGCTCTGATCACGTGTTGATCACGCGTATGAGTCATTACAGTTTTAAATAGTTGTAGTATAGATTTCAGGTCAGCCGCGAATTAAATAAATGTCCATCAATATTTGATGAAAATAGTTCCAATGCGCCATTGAATGTCAACAGATTCAGTATTACCAACATTACAAAATTAACTCTAGGAAGCATTAAATATGGCGTATGGCGATAGGCATCTTTTAAGTGTGGTTTCGACTTTCTCATTCAATCAATATGAAAAAACTTGACGACTCACCTATGAGGATGCTTGACCGGCACCTGTTGATGTAGAAGTGGTACCTCAACGAGTGTATCACTCCGAAATACTGATTGATTCCTATGAGCAGGATACTGAAGATGGACGCCGTGCAGACGAAACTGGTCGTGCTGTGAGCGAAAACGCACAGCAAATCAGCTGTCGCATTTTCGGCAATCAGTCTCCTAGTCAAAACGTCACTGGTCTCGATGATCTCGATCGTCTTCCTGGTAGGGTCATCCTGGAAATAAAACAAACACAAGTTAGTAAATTTCTGAAAAATGCTGACACAAACCATTTTTTAACATATTCTCCAAGAAGATACCTAACCATAAGTTGTATTTGGACGTGCACATACAATTTCCATCGTTACAGCCATGTTGTAAAGTAGGATCGCAGGAATTCCCTTAGAAGTAATAAAAACCGATCCCATTTTCCTATGAAATATTTCTTGGCTGATATTTTGTAGCTCCAGGAAAGGAAATCCTATTGCGCTTTTTTGGAGTTTTCAGAGGGTATACAAAATTTTATTAAAATAAAACCATTTAAACTGGGTGTTCGGATTTATATGTCACTTAGTATATGATTATTTTCGCGCAGACATGGCAGGTATCTTCTGATCAAACAAGTGGGAGCGTTCTTGTATCTATGAAAAAGAGCATTCTCACTAGACACCAAAAATAAGTACCTGGAACTCGGTTTCGATGATCTCGATGCTCTCAGAACTGGTATTGGAAGAACGGACGTTCTCCCGGATGATGAGACTTTCCACTTCATCTACAGTCTGGTTTACTCCCATACTGGAAGTCAAAGATGTAGCTTCTTGGTCCACCAGGAGGAGAGGGATCAGAAGCACACTGCTGAGGAGATTGGTAATCAGCAGATTAATCACAAATCTGCAACAAGCGAAAACTAGATCAGTAACGGATACTACAAAAACAATCGATAGTTAATATGTCAGAAATTTTGCCGTCTTCAATTAAGTTTTGCTGCAATTCGCTATGGTGAGTAGCGTCGTCAAAATTCATTTTCGTGTTCTGCTACTGACGCTAGTATTTTTCAAATCCATTTTCGAACGCCGGAATACAATGTATGGTTGACTATCTTCAGGTAGAATACGCTAATCAACGATAATAGGTATTTTAGTTAGCAAAAAGCGTTTAATTAATTCTCTTAATTTCTTCTACCGCAGCAGAAATGTATTTTTTTGTACTCCTGGCGTTTCCGAAAATGCGACCTATTCATACAAATGCGAAGAGGAATAAGTTCCTTGAGCGAGAGGATTTATTTGTTTACTTAGGCATAAATGCCGAAAATTGTTTGCTTGGTTCTTCGCTATTTTTATACAGAGTGACTTCGAAGTTGAGTCATGTATAACAGTGAGTAGATCTGATCAAAAGAAATGTTTTTTTCCTTTACCATTTTTCTGGTAAAATTAAAGTAACAAAGTTATAGCCCTTTGGAAGTTTGAGTACCGCCCTGTCTCAATAATAATATTATGTGCTCGTGTTTGGCAACAACGGATATAATCCGCCTTATCGGTTCATCGCATCGGAAACAAAAAAGCGAAAGAATTTGGAACGATGTTTTTACAATTATTTTATTCAGTTGTATACAGTCAGTGTCAGTCGGTAACGCGTGAGTGAATAGTGGTGTCTGTTGCGTGGCTCAAACGAAATAAAAAATGGCACATGTTTATGCGGATCGGTTTCCCAATCGAGTGCAACCAACCCCTCGTGCCTTTGTTAATGTAGTACAACGGGCTCGTGAATCAGGTGACTTAAGACCTCACAGGGGACGGCATGCCGGTGCTCCAAGACCTCACGATCAAATACAGGTCCGCACTGAAATACTTGTCGGGAGGATACTTTATAAAACAAGGTAACATTTTTTTTTATTTTTTTTTTTTATTTTTACATACATATTTTGGTTTATCTTCCTTCTACAATCATTATCTGAAAATTAATGACTCAACTTCAAAGTCACCCTGTATACGAGTACTTCTAGCGTTACACCATCGATCCTTGATGAATAGTGAGTCAATATACGCAGTTTGTGTACTTACTCGCTAAGCTCTATTTACTCTTGAAATTAACAATGTTTCCTATGAGAATGGCCTGGTTATTTACCAGACTTCAAATAGATTTTCGTGAACATAAATATTTATCGTGGAATTGTTAGATGGGCGTATATCCACATTTGCGACGTATAGTTGAGTGACTTGTAAAAGTTCAGCGCACCGCAAGCAAAGAAAACCGATTAACGAGGAAACAACAACGTACCACGATGGTACTGGTCAGTCGGTCACGCGTGCACGAGAACAGTAACAAGCGTGACCGGTTGCAAGCCTGCTGATTTACCCCGATTTTTTATTCAGCTATCCTAGTTTCAATATTATAAGGTCACCTCAATAAGGTAAAACAAAAGCAAACTTCAATTTACATATCAGCAAATATACTCAATATTGTCTGTAATTCAAAAAATTTGCCACGAGAAATCATCTGACTATATATATATACTCAACGCACATGTTAAGCATTTCTCATTTTCGTATATCGAACAGAACAAGCAAAAGACTCATACCTGTACATTGCCTTCAGAATCCAAGCTAAGTTCAAGAAAGGCTCGCAAAACATATCTTTTCAACTTCATATCCTTTGATAACCAATAATATATATATAATAATCAATTGACATTTACTGATCACATCTTTTATATCGTAGTGATTTCCCATTATCACAGTAACAATATTAGTATCTGTTTTGAAGATTATCGGTCAGTCAGAAAAAGAACATTTTACGGGTATGTTATTAACTCTATGCCGATAGCCATTTATGATCCGCAATATATCAAGATTAAGCTACAAGAGAGGTTAACAAATGTATTCAAATATTCATAGGTCTCCACCTGACTAGAAATGGGTCCACAAATTTTGTTAAAAGCGCCGGGAAAGAAGTTATAAAAACAGGTAGTTGACCGGTCTACCTTTAAGGATAGGATCGTCCTTTGGTCCAGGTACAAATTCATGAAACTGTAGTCTCACTGCAATGACTAAAATTGGATTGAAAGGCGCTTTCGACTGAAAAGAGTGAGAACCTTGTTGTGTCTCAAGTTTTCTGTTTATGGAGTATCTATTTCTTCCATTTTTTTGATCATATGTACAAGTTCATATACTACTAACTATACATTATTTTATTTATAGGACCTTCAGAATCCATAGTCCTCGGGTCAGAAGTTAGATATAGATACTATTATAATTAGTGACAATCTATTTCACTGTATCAGTGTTTTTCACATTTAAGCACCATTTAACATAAACAGATAGGTTTAAATTCCTAAAAAAGTTTTCCTATTCTAATCTCATCCAATTACTGTAGATCATCAAAACCTCTGGAAAATGCCATGCATAACAAATAAGTATATCACATTCTTCAATGTAAGATAAGACTCAGATATTTTTCAGAAACCATGATCTTGTAGTACTCGAATTCCGGGTTATGGCAGATACAGTCAAGATGCGCATTTTTTCACACTACAAAGTACAAAACGAGATCTGATTGTGAAACAATGAATTTTATAGCGGACATAAATAAAGCAGTCATAGTTTTCGAAATGAGACATTAAACAAGACGTATTCCGAAATAACCAAGGGCTTCTATCAAATAGGGAACAAAAATATATATATATAGGTGAAAAATTAAAGCTTCCGCCTTTTGTTGGGTACTTCGACAAAATTTAAGCAAAGAGGACTCTTTATACTTTTTTTAATTCTCTCTAGCTTTCAATGGACTTTGCCATCATCATCAGGAGCTGCAATTACAATGATAACAGTAGCAACAAAAGTGTAAAATGAATTTAAATTGAATCAACTTACAGTAGTATGTGAGGATGTTGCTAATTGTTGTTTTCATATAGGATGAGGGAAACGTCCAGTAACATGGTGAGAGCTAGATAGATGGTACAATGGTCAAAATTATATGAAATATGACAAGAACAAGTTAAAAACAGATTAAAAATTATTTAAAAAACATTAGAGCATTACATCGTGAAGCCACAATGACCACGTCTCAAGTTATACGTATATATATATATATAAGTAGAAAAATAATGGGCAAAATCCGCAAAAAGAGGAAAATGGATTCGAGCAGAAAATAGGATAGGTAACCCGAGCGATACGTATTTCTGCTGGTTGGCTTCATTAGGCCCGAAATGAATGCACATATGCAACTACAAAAGTAGATACACATGCCCACACATCCGGATACGGGTGTAACCTGTGGAAACGAGAGGGAAAAAAACGACACACGAAGTCCACAACAAGAGCCAACCTACACAGGTTTTTCCCTCTCCATCTTCGTTTCCTCAGGTTACACCCATATCCGGATGTGTGGGCATGTGTATCTACTTTTGTAGTTTCGTATGTGCATTTATTTCGGGCCTGATGAAGCCAACCAGCAGAAATACGTATCGCTCGGGTTACCTATCCTATTTTCTGCTCGAATCCACTTTCCTCTTTTTGCGGATTTTGTCCATTATTTTTCTACATTTGTTCATGATCATTTTCTTTTATATATATATATATAGATATAATAGCAATTTAATGTAAAGGAAACTATTTCTAATAAAGTCAATATTTCCGCCAAATAGTCCTTGCTTGAGACTTTGAGGAAAATACAAGATGTATCTTGTTGACATGCCAGTATTGCTAGCTACACGCCCAAAGTATTATAGAATTCATAAAAAATGTCGATCAATTCTTCTGTCCGTACATTCAAAATTAACAGTGAATTATTGTACAATAACTGCTCGAGCTTTTAATCTAGTCTTCATGTATTAAATATCGTTGGCCATCTAACAGATATTAGACACGATAAACTTGCAAATTGATTCCTTATCTCAGTATGTAAAAACTAGTACAAGCTAATATAATCTGAGATTATCTGATACCCACGTAATTCTATGCAAGCCGATTTTATTTCCTGTTGATATCTCTCAAACTTTGTTACGTCCATGCGGTTTCAAGTTTTGTTGTTTGGATCATAACCCGGGGACAAACGCAAAATGTAAATTGTTATCATTAGCGTAATCTCAAACACTTACGAGAATGAAAATCAAAATATGTAAATTAATAATACAGTATTGGTGAATGAAAACATCTATCGTGTTCATCAAGGTTTTGCAATGGAATTTTGTGTGACATGTGTTTACTAACGTATGGAAATTAGGAAAACATAAAATATGATTTAAACTTCTCGTATAAAACTCCAGAGCATATGGAGATCGTTCGAAAAAAATATTTGAAAATTTTACATAGATACTTGCAACAGGATATCAGTAAGCTTTTCTTATTTTTTTTCATACATGTAAGATGCGTACTGATACACTTTTTCAAATTAAATCGCTAGTTAAGTGGTACTAAAGATTATTTATTAATAGTGAATCGGATATAACTTGATTAACCATACGAATAATTTTGATAAGGGTTCAAGGCTCGCCAGTTCCTCTATTCAATAGAGCACTTAAAGCAATGAACCCGCTAGATAACGTTAAAACATAGAAGCAACTTATTTCTTTTTAATCTACGTTGTTCCTTTTACCTCATTAAATTAATTTTTCTAGTTAAATATTACATACCAGGAAAACGCACTAAATTATATCCATTATCAACAATTATCACTACTGCTACATGATTATAGCGTAATTCTTACATCATTTTGGCTTGTAATAGCTTAAATTTCCGTCTTTATCTATTGACAGGTAAAGACTCGAACGTAAACTGTTTTTTCTTTAATGAAATTAATTTCAATTTTTTGTGTCTGCCTGCTAAAGCAGGTAAAACGTCAGCCTTTTTTGATTATCGGTATACAATTGAATCATAGCCAATTGAACAGCATGTATGTTTAGAGTTCCGGAATGCAATATACCTGCTTCTTTACGGAAAACAATGGTTCATCGTTACGGTTGTCTATCACAATGACGTATTTGGATACTTTTTTGTAAACAAGTGGGTATCGGAAGCGTTTTTTTCTTGTTTATTTGCGTTAAAGTGCAAAACATAAACATACCTATTAGGTACGGTTCTGAGGCTCCTTCTTCTACAGAAGATCACCAACAGAAAAATGTTGGCAGTAACTGCGATGACAGATGACGTCACCAGCCCAATGGTAATGAGCCAATGGTAATCGGACTCCATTTATTGCCTGGAACAAAAGCACATCATATTTATACTGCAGATCCAGTGAATAATGATAATAATAATATTTATTCACTCAATGTTCAAAGAGAACAAACATCGGTAAATAAATATTGAATGAAAAATATTTACATTGTTCAAAAACGAATGCAAAATTATGATCATAAAGGTAACACTATTTGACATAACACAGTACATTGCAAAACTTGTAGTAGTATGTACATAAGCAAGTAGAGTGGCCCTAATATGGAACCTTGCGGTCAACATAAATTCAATAAACGTGCTTATCATTCAGGTACGGCATGTTCTGGATACTACACAAAACACGCCAAGTATTTTAGAGGAATATAGATACATTAAGACATATTCACGTGATGTCACAATACGGTGGCCATTCTTAACAAATATACAATTTGCTCTGACCCATAGTTTTGAGCGTTAACTACTGCATTTTTACTGTTATATTGATAAATAAAAAGTAATAAAATCGTTTAAAAATACGGCTTATTACCGTGACTTTGTTAAAGGTATAGGATAATTGAATAATCCGCTATTTACAGGTAGTTATGTAGTAATATGTAGATATGTGTTATTGTCTAACAACTAGCGGCATAGTGATTAATATATAGTTTTCACAATCTATTTGGATTTTACAAATATTTAGGACTATGAATGAATTTCCATTCCGGTTTGAATTATTTTTAATTCTGTCACATTATTTGATGACAATAATAAAAATAATAAACTTGCTATTTATTTGTAGCTCTCGTTTGACTGACATCAAAAACTGATTGTTGGAAACAATCCAATTCGTTACGAAGATTCAACCGAATTTCAACATTTGGGACTTCTCAAACAAGAAACCTGGGCATTCATTTATATGTAAAATATGTAAAATGTTACAAAGCAAATGACAGAAAAAGTGTAAAATCCTAATCAAATATTTTTGTACGTATATCTATGAAATAAAATCAGTCTGAAACATGGGGTGAGCAATATCACTTACCACTCAGTGTGGATTCAAAATAAACCGTATGACTGCAGATTATCTGAACCTAAATATCTCTGGTACGGGTTGGTACAATTAAATCGCATATGAAATTTTATACGAACCCCATATTTCTAAGTATTTCATATATTATGCTAGATCAGATTTGATAAGAACGGATGAACATATCTGCGCAAAGCTTGTTTTCACATGTGACGTCGGCTATGTTGCAAGTCACTTCAGTATTCCACGCAATATTGAGAAACCGTTGCACACGTCAAAAGATAGTTGCTAAATTAATAGCCTATTTTGGTTAATGTTTTGGATGCAGCAGATATAAGTTGTTGTTATGCCTTGACACACCTCCTGCATTGTTAAAGTAAATATAAAGCTGTGAAGTACACCTTGAAATTCGGAAAACAACTAATTGTGATACATAACTTACGATATTAACATTGAATTTCATCACTTTTCCATACCATTACATGATTTCGTGAGAATTTATTGTCTAATAAGTTCTCGTTTTTTTAGATTTTGTCGTATGACTATAATTGGATGATCTCCATTATTTTGTACGAACTTCAACACTTTTTATAGTGAATGTAATCAAATACATACTTTATAGAGTATTCCAACACATCTAAAATGTTATTCAACGCCATGATTGGAAAAAATCTTGCACTTGAGTTGTCTCCTCTCGCTGGTAAAAACCTTAAACCTGCGATCAATCACAACTATTGATCATGAACTTGATCTCCTTTGTTTATGAACAAGGACAAGGTTTTATAATCCAAGTTCTGTTCTCAAAGTTCAGTAATTGTTTTTAACTCGTATTCATTTTAATTTTCACAGAATTTTCTAGAGAAGAAGAAGGATCATAAGTCCATTTGATCTCTTTATATATATATACTAAGTGACATATAAATCCGAACACCCAGTTTAAATGGTTTTATTTTAATAAAAGTTGGTGAACGTATTTATCTTACTGTAAATAACAAGTAAAAAAATTTTCAGCCTTATCAGTTGGACATTCCGGTTTTTATACTGCTTTTTTTTAATTCACTAACGCTCTAAAAATGAATATTTCAGCCGCAGTAAAGAATCAACGTTGGCGGATTTTGGTTCTTGACATCCTTTATGATCGGTTACGATGCCTAGAGTACGGAGACCTGTACGATTTCGTCAACTTAGTGAGTTTGATAGGGGCCGTATAGTGGGACTTCGGGAAGCTGGACTTTATTTTCGGGCAATTGCTGTTAGAGTGCAAAGAAGTGTAGACACTGTGGTTAGGTGTTGTCAGGCATGGCTTCGAGAAGGCCGTACGCAAAGAACAAGGGGCACTGGACGCCGGCCGTAGAACAACAGACCGTGAAGATCGCCGCCTAAGATTATTGTCCTTAAGGGACCGTTTCTCCACTACCAGGTTCATTGCAAATGAATGGTTTGCAGAACACGGAGTACCTATTGGCATGCGAAGTGTTTACCGACAAATGAGAAGTTTTGGCTTGTTTTCATACCGGCCACACTGGGTCCTCCCTTTAACTCGAGAACACCGACGTAATCGCCTTGAGTGGTGCAGACAACGGTCACTCTGGGATCAGGAATGGAACATTATTGTCTTTAGTGACGAGTCTCGATTTTGTTTAGGCATGCACGATGGTCGTGCCAGGGTTAGAAGGCGACGTGGTGAAAGGAGGAATCCATCCACAGTTTTTTGTTGAAAGACATGTTCATCACACTGTTGGAGTTATGGTTTGGGGTGCTATAGCTTATGATTCCAGGTCACCTTTAATCTTCATCAGAGGTAACATGAACGCGCAGCGTTATATCCACGAAGTTCTAGAACCCCATCTTTTACCCTATCTTGACACCCTGGCAGATCCAACTTTCCAACAAGATAATGCCCGACCACATGTTGCAAGAGTCACAATAGACTTCTTTCAACATAATGATGTCACATTGTTACCGTGGCCACCAAGATCTCCCGACTTATCCCCAATTGAGCACGTGTGGGATATGATGGGTAGGAGATTGCTCAATTTGCAACGTCCTCCTCAGACTCTAGAAGCACTTCGAGAGGAGTTGGTGGTTGCCTGGAATGAGATACCACAGGAGGACATTGACCACCTGATCAGAAGCATGCCTAGGCGCGTTGGAGAATGCGTAGCACATCAGGGTGCATCCACATATTATTAAAGGTCAATGGGCTTTAAAGCAGTGCAATCATTTTGAAATTTTTATCCATTTACTTATTATGCTTCATTAAGTACTTATACAAAATTTTATTAAAATAAAATCATTTAAACTGGGTGTTCGGATTTATATGGCACTTAGTGTACATCCTCTCTAGGGGTTATTCAGTGCTAGAGCGTCATTCCAAACTAATGAAGAAGGCAGTGGGTCCACACAAAAGGGGATCTCTTGGTTCGAGATCAGAGGAACTGAAGGTGAGGTAATTTTATTATTTCAAAGCAATAGAGTTCTTGAAATTCCAGCCATTTTTCTATGGCTCTATTTTAGGTTCCCTATTTTAATATAACTAGGCTATGCTAATGCAATGCAACATAAGAAGAAAAAAATAGATTTTCACCGTTTTCTGCAGCACGTTGTTATATTTCTGTGCATGGAGTAAATATAGCTTGGTATGTTTTCTTTTGGACCCGACCTATAATGATCGTAACGCTCGTGGCTTGTTAGTCTTGATTATTTTGGCATTTTCACACATAATATTTTATTTATTACACGTGGATGACTTTCTACAGTTTAAATCTCACGATTGTTTTGAAGAAAAACAATTTTGTTAGCAATTATATTGTAGCTCCACACACAAAAAAATAGATATATGTTGCTTAATAATATCTTGGAAGATATGTTTTACATAGGTTTATTTGTTTAACAGTCGCATTAGTTTGTTCCTAAGGCCCGTATCGTCAGTCGTCCCTACAAATTGTAGGGCGCGTTTATGGCTTCCTTGATTGTCATACTCCTTTCTCTCCTTCAAAAATTTCTAGATTACACTCGTCCCGTGTCAGCGTCAGCGCTCTCCTATTGTGAAGATATGTGTTGTTTTTAAATTGTAGGAAATTTCAGGCTGATAAAACGTGATATAACTCAAAAGCAAGCACAATTTGATGCAAATAGATGTTTTTGACATAACCTCAAAATAGAGTTCTGACACGGAGAAGCAGACAATCAAGGAGGCCATAAAGGCGCCCTACAATTGTAGGGATGACTGACGATACGGGCCTAAGACATTTCCCATTAATTTTTGTGTAATATTTCAAGATAATATTTAACCCAAATTTGAAAAAAAATCAGAAGATTCTAGCCTGTTTTTATTAAGCTAACCTTCAGATTTTTAATGTAATACGTTATTACAAGATTCTTTAGGTGCACATGCAATATGAAGATTTCAGACAAGTCCAATTACCTTGGTTAAAAATAGTAATCCAACAAATCGCTATCAAACTAAGAATATCCTCAGTGTGCACTCCCAGGGAACTTTTACAACTTCATTTTCAATCACTAGCACAAGGTTTCCCGCACGCATGTTCTCGGAAAACCCTTAAAGACAAGGCGCGATCGCGATCGTTCTCAAGCGCGCTTACGCGTATTCCAGTTTACACCGTCAAGTATAGTGTGCGCTGGTCTAGTTCGACAAATGACTGTCGATCAACGCGCGTCGTTCTGTATATAGCGCGGTCGGGAGCTTAATGAGGTTTATCAATTTTAACCGGTACTATTATTGGTTCCCGCAACGGGTTTGCTTCATTTTATACGTACACGATTTTGAGAGTGCGGTTAAGTGTTAAATAATGAATGAAATTATTGATAGAGGCTTTTATCAGTTTAAGGTGCTGTTGCAACCAGATATTGTAGAACAATGGATAGACGGTAGTTCCCAAATATCGTACGATTTTTTAAATTTTTAGTGTCCTTATTTTTTTCTCACAGCAAGTGGTACCACACCTATGATAGCGACTGCAACTTATTTTTGTATGTTGTCTTCCCTACTAATATACTAAGTGACATATAAATCCGAACACCCAGTTTAAATGGTTTTATTTTAATAAAAGTTGGTGAATGTATTTATCTTACTGTAAATAACAAGTGAAAAAATTTTCAGCCTTATCAGTTGGACATTCCGGTTTTTATACTGCTTTTTTATTTAATTCACTAACGCTCTAAAAATGAATATTTCAGCCGCAGTAAAGAATCAATATTGGCGGATTTTGGTTCTTGACATCCTTTACGATCGGTTACGATGCCTAGAGTACGGAGACCTGTACGATTTCGTCAACTTAGTGAGTTTGATAGGGGCCGTATAGTGGGACTTCGGGAAGCTGGACTTTCTTTTCGGGCAATTGCAGTTAGAGTGCAAAGAAGTGTAGACACTGTGGTTAGGTGTTGTCAGGCATGGCTTCGAGAAGGCCGTACGCAAAGAGCAAGCGGCACTGGACGCCGCCGTGGAACAACAGACCGTGAAGATCGCCGCCTAAGATTATTGGCCTCAAGGGACCGTTTCTCCACTACCAGGTCCATTGCAAATGAATGGTTTGCAGAACACGGAAGACCTATTGGCATGCGAAGTGTTTACCGATGAATGAGAAGTTTTGGCTTGTTTTCATACCGGCCACACTGGGTCCTCCCTTTAACTCGAGAACATCAACGTAATCGCCTTGAGTGGTGCAGACAACGGTCACTCTGGGATCAGGAATTGACGAGACTCGATTTTGTTTAGGCATGCACGATGGTCGTGCCAGGGTTAGAAGGCGACGTGGTGAAAGGAGGAATCCACAGTTTTTTGTTGAAAGACATGTTCATCACACTGTTGGAGTTATGGTTTGGGGTGCTATAGCTTATGGTTCCAGGTCACCTTTAATCTTCATCAGAGGTAACATGAACGCGCAGCGTTATATCCACGAAGTTCTAGAACCCCATCTTTTACCCTATCTTGACACCCTGGCAGATCCAACTTTCCAACAAGATAATGCCCGACCACATGTTGCAAGAGTCACAATAGACTTCTTTCAACATAATGATGTCACATTGTTACCATGGCCACCACGATCTCCCGACTTATCGCCAATTGAGCACGTGTGGGATATGATGGGTAGGAGATTGCTCAATTTACAACGTCCTCCTCAGACTCTAGAAGCACTTCGAGAGGAGTTGGTGGTCGCCTGGAATGAGATACCACAGGAGGACATTGACCACCTGATCAGAAGCATTCCTAGGCGCGTTGGAGAATGCGTAGCACATCAGGGTGCATCCACACATTATTAAAGGTCAAATTTGGTACAGATATAGGGGGGATAGGGGCTTTATGCTACATTTTATTCCGGGAAATAACTTTTGAACATTTTGTTTAGATTTGTTTGGTTGTTCTGTTTTATTTCAATATCTTTGTATGCGTATACCATACACATGACAAATTTCTAATGAAGATAAAATAGCACCGTTTACCGTTGGTTTGACCATTGTTTAACGTATACCAAAAAGATGCCGAGCATATTGCCAAACTGATTTTGCAGTAATGCCCTTAGAAGGAATAAAAAACAGATCCCATTTACCTTTTAAAGAAAAGTACCCTTCAACATTTCTCATAAATTACGAGGGAGGGTGAGTAATTACTAGTTGTTATTATATTGAAATATGTAGGCGGTGCCATGGTATGTATGCTAGTTTAGGCGTACGGCTTTCAGTTGAATCCAAATCGTTTCTTTCTTGCATCCCAATTTTTGCATCGACATTCTTAAACTTCAAACCTCTTGTTCACCTTGAATGCATCTTGACCAACAAAATACTTTATGTTTCATTAATATACAAAATCAAAAATAAAGATAACTTTGTAAATGGGACAGTCACATCGAAAAAGATAAATGGCGCTTCTTATGCAGATAACATTCCTCAGTCTCCACAATTTTTATATTTAGATCATTCTAGAACAAACCAATCAGTGGGTGTTTCATCAGTAATGATAAATGTTCTAATAATTATTCCGTTGTTTGGACAATATTTTTCACGAGTCCAAAAGATGATCCTGAATAGAAACTACATTACACAATTTCTTTGTAGATACCGAACCTTTTGCCCTCTGATAAGGCATCGTAGATAGTGTGAAGGTTAAGGAATCTAAGGGAAAATGTCAGTGAACTATGAATAGCTTACTATAGTTTGTCCACGATTTTATTTATCATCTGGTATTGCCAAAATAAAATTTCTGTAACACACGTTCCATTGGAACCTCAAGTAAAAATAATACTAAAAAACTTGTTAATGTAACATCTGAAAATTATTCTGTAATTTTCATGTTGATAATCCTCCATGTATACCTGAAAGAAGAAATTCAAATACCTGTGGCTTTATTGGCCATACAAACATGGGGGATTACAACTTCTTAATGTTTTTTCAAGGACCACACAGAGAACGTACAGTCACAGTTTACGAGCCTTTACAAAAATAATGACAGCTAAAATAAAAAAATTTGGAAGACAACAGCAAAAAAAAAACCGTATATATCAGTGATACTCAAAGTTTCCTCAAACCCAACAAGAAATTTTCAGTAAAACTGAAAAATGAGAAATTTTCCCTAATCGAGAGCTTTAATGAATTTCTCACGATTTCAGAAAGCCTCTTGCATAGGAAATAGTCACAACATGCATTTTAAATCTGCTTGAGATTCAAAGTATGTCAGTAAACTGCAATAATCTATGAAAAAGTTACCTTACCAGGAACCTGAATAAGGAAAACAACTAAAAGCTCTTTATAAAAGCTCTTTTTTGTAAACAGGTGAACTATAGTAATACGTGAGGTTCTTGATAAAAGAAAGTATTGTTGAATCAATAAAAGTAAGAAAAAGTTTTATGAAAAATGGTGAACGCATTTATGCAAGAGCTACTATCACAAATTACAAAAATATCCTCAATTTCAGTACAGGAAATCTTCGCCATTTGTATTTTAAACCATCCTATAGGACTCAAAGTATGCATGTCACTCATTTCTAACTACCCATACCTTAAGAAAAGCTCGAGTCCTTGAATGCAACCAAGATCCTTTTTAAAGCACAGGCACAGCACATGCAAATCATCTACCACACATCGCTTAACGGTGACTCCGGTAAAATTTCCGGCTCGCATGTTCCGCGGAAAGCGCGCGTGGAAAATCGACTGGTCATGCTGCAGTTTCGCGGTTGACTGTGGCTCGGGGCCTTGCGACCGAATGACTGCCGATCGACGCCAAACTTCGACGCCGAGGTACCGACAATGCCGGGTGGCAACTGGCAGACTTGCGAGATCGCGCACAGCCACGCACAGGGGGACTCTCAATGGCCCTCTTGGCATTCCAGAGAATATAATGTTGTAACCAGTTCCGATTGAACAAAGGATCAAAGTGATGTCAAGCTTAGTGATTTTAGAAAACTTTAACTCAAGCTCAGATTTTACTGGTGATTGGCATGTAGAGCCACATACATATACACACAGAGAAATATAAGGGCCTCTGATAAACTGGTTTATGCTTTAGGCCTGATCAAACGAAAGCTCGAAATGATTAAGCACTTAAGTATACTGAATGGGGAAGCTTTAAAAGCTCATACCTCAATGATCTATGAAAGCTTCGGCAAAGACTTATATTAATTTCAAGTTTCAAATTTCACTAATTCGCAAATGCTTTAGTAAAAACTCATATTAATGGGACTCTGAATGGCTCTCTTAGCATTCCCGAGAATATAATGTTGTAACCAGTTCCGATTGAACAAAGGATCAAAGTGATGTCAAGCTTTGATTTGAGAAAGCTTTAACATAAGCTCAGATTTTACTGGTGATTGGCATGTAGAGCCACATACATATACACACAGAGAAATATAAGGGCTTCTGATAAACTGGTTTATGCTTTAGCCCTGATCAAACGAAAGCTCAAAATGATTAATCACTTTACTGAATTTATGAAAGCTTCTGAAAGACTCAGATTAAATAGTAACATTACTGAGTTAAAAAACTCGTAAACATTTCGTGCTTGACTGATTTAGAATACTTTTAAGCACTGATTTAGGATGATTTAGGAAGTATACTGATTTGGGGAAGCTTTAAAAGCTCAAACTGATTTCGAACCTCAATGATCTATGAAAGCTTCGGCAAAGACTTATATTAATTTCAAATTTCACTAATTCGCAAATGCTTTAGTAAAAACTCATATTAATGGGACTGTGAATGGCCTTCTTAGCATTCCAGAGAATATAATGTTGTAACCAGTTCCGATTGAACAAAGGATCAAAGTGATGTCAAGCTTAGTGATTTGAGAAAGCTTTAACACAAGCTCAGATTTTACTGGTGATTGGCATTGGCGAGACTTGCAAGATCGCTAGCGTGTAGAGCCACATACATATACACACAGAGAAATATAAGGGCCTCTGATAAACTGGTTTATGCTTTAGGCCTGATCAAACGAAAGCTCAAAATGATTAAGCACTTTACTAAATTTATGAAAGCTTCTGAAAGACTCAGATTAAATAGTAACAATACTGAGTTAAAAAACTCGTAAATATTCCGTGCTTTACTCATTTAGAATACTTTTAACCACTGATTTAGGATGATTTAGGAAGTATACTAATTTGGGGAAGCTTTAAAAGCACAAACTGATTTCGAACCTCAATGATCTATGAAAGCTTCGGCAAAGAATATTAATTTCAAGTTTCAAATGTCACTAATTCGCAAATGCTTTAGTAAAAACTCATATTAATGGGACTCTGAATATCCTTCTTAGCATTCCAGAGAATATAATGTTGTAACCAGTTCCGAT